TTATGACGACACTTTTATATCTGGTTTCAAACAACGCCGAATTCTGGCAAATAAACACAATTATAGTAAGGGATAAGGTAAAAGAAGGTAGAAGGCTATATCAGCCGTATTTGATAAATATGTTCCATAATTGGCTGTGGGATTGAGTCACAACATGCATATCTAAGATGCTGTGCGTACTTGTAGCACAGCACACATTCCCATGTAACCCGAGTCGTATAAGCCTATGACTCTCGTACAAAACCCGTGTACCACGATTTTGATAAAAATGCAATAGAGGTGTCAACGTGCATCCCACATTTAACAGTAACGACGTCACACCCGCCATTGAAACAACAACGCTTATAAACAGCAACAATAGATTGCATATAGTACTTTAATGAGATCGTGATGGACACCAGATATAGGCATGAGTGTCCCCGGCGTGGAATGAACATTCCTTTGACTAACAATGAATGATTGGGTAACAACAACTTCTACTTTTGTATCTCGAGAACGTGATGTGCCTCATTCGGTGGGCGTGTCAGATGTGGACTATCCGCATCGTGATGTACAAGCTTATATTGACATGGAATTGATACAGGAACACCTACACACTTCCCTGTCACAAATTCCATGTGGCTGTGTAGGGTTTTACAGGGCATAAAACATTGCAATATCATCACAGTGAATACAAGCCACTTAAACTCTTTCCATAATCATAAGAAATAGTCGATTATAAGATTTCGAATGTGCAGTGCATGTTAGTTGGATACAATATTACACTATACACTATTAAATCGTTTTAACTGATTATTATGTCACATTGTTCAGACGAATTGAGACACAAATCGTCACATTGTATGGAAGGAATGTTACATATGGTGCGTGTCTGTATATAACGTTACATTGTATGGATTAAATGTAACATACCGTGCCTTTTTGTATATAACGTTACAGTGTATGGATTAAATGTAACATACCGTGTCTTTTTGTATATAACCTTATACTTATACTGTGTGGATTAAATGTTACATACCGCGCCATTCTGTATATAACGTTACATTGTATGGATTAAATGTAACATACCGTGTCTTTCAGTATCTAACGTTACATTGTATGGATTAAATGTAACATACCGTGTCTTTCTGTATATAACGTTACATTGTATGGATTAAATGTAACATACCGTGTTTTTCAGTATGTAACGTTACATTGTATGGATTAAATGTAACATACCGTGTCTTTCAGTATGTAACCTTTTACTGTGTGAATTAAATGTAACATACCGTGCCATTCTGTATATAACGTTACATTGTATGGATTTAATGTAACATACCGTGCCATTCTGTATATAACGTTAAACTTTATGGATTTAATGTAACATACCGTGTCTTTCTGTATATAAAGTTACACTGTGTGTATTAAATGTAACATACCGTGCCATTCTGTATATAACGTTAAACTGTATGGATTAAAGGTAACATACCATGCCATTCTGTATATAACGTTACATTGTATGGATTTAATGTTACATACTGTGCCTTTCTGTATATAACGTTACATTGTATGGATTTAATGTTACATACCGTGCCATTCTATATATAACGTTAAACTGTATGGATTAAATGTAACATACCATGCCTTTCTGTATATAACGTTACATTGTATGGATTTAATGTTACATGCTGTGCCTTTCTGTATATAACGTTACATTGTATGGATTTAATGTTACATACTGTGCCATTCTATATATAACGTTAAACTGTATGGATTAAATGTAACATACCATGCCTTTCTGTATATAACGTTACATTGTATGGATTTAATGTTACATGCTGTGCCTTTCTGTATATAACGTTACTCTGTATGGATTAAATGTCACCGATCCTGCTATGAATATCATGTTATCCATACATTGTCTGAAGGGAAAAGAGGGTGGTGGGGTAGCCTTGTGGTTAAAGCGTTGGCTCGTCGCGCCGAAGACCCGGGTTCGATTCCCCTCATGGGTACAATGTGTGAAGCCCATTTTCCGGGGTCCCTCGCCGTGATATTGCTGGAATACTGCAAAAAGCGGCGTAAAACCATACTCACTCACTCAAGGGAAAATATTACATGTGGATATGTATAAGACCGTTAAAGTGCAGCAGTGTAACCCCCTACCGAGATCCTCTATATGTGTGTTTGTTTGTTTGTACGTCTGTACGATGTAACAGTCTTTCTGTTATATCCAGGCGTGTCAGGTTCTTATAGGAGGAAGGCCCGAGGTAGTGATGCTTGTCACAGACAAGCACCTCTTTGGTAAACCAAACGAGCACGTGTTTGGTGACAAACCAAGAAACATAATGAAGGCGAATCTGTGACGAGAACCCCCAATAGCAGCAGGGCGAATTGCGGCGCCATTGGAAAAGGTGACTAAAAATTGAAACTGATCTTTTAGTATCCTAACCATTCCAAGTACCCATAATGATCACAGATGGGACCTTTCACCGATGGAAGCCTCTGCAACCGGTGCTTAACCAATGAACAAAATACAAGCATAATCTGCCTCCTCTATATCTATATAAACAACTGACCCGTGAAGATATTGCTGAGTGCGGGGTTAAACAACAAACAAACAAAACAAACAAACAAACAAATATAAAGACAACTGTCAGGGGACTTATGAATTGGAGTTCACAAATACATTTTACTTTTTACCACCACGACGAAAATATTCATTTATCCTGAAGAAACTTGAACTAACTTTTATAATTACGCCAAGATGGAATGATGTCAATTTGCAAACACCAATTCAAGTTAAAAAAAGAGCCACATCTGTATCCCTGGTCTGACATTCCTAACTGATTAAAGCTAAGGGTGTCTTGAAGCAACCTCCACCGCCTGGCCTGTACATGACGCCACGGAATCGGAGACTCCTGGAAGTATTTATAGCCCGCAGACCTCAAAGACTGGACCGGAACACCAGATTAAGGCTCGGTAATTACCAGCTGGCGTAAACATAGTCCTGGAAAATGTCAAGGTTGCGTGTCATGGTCATCCCAGCTGCCACCAAAACAATATTTGCAAGGAGGTAACCTCATAACCCTGACCCAGTACACACAACTTGCAGGGAAAGAAAAACAAATATGCGATGTGGTAAATTTTGTTTCGTTGATTGTCTGTGACAATCACTTCATTTGACAGGGGGTTCGTGTCGTGATATCATTATGTGAGGGGCCTAAATGAAATGGGAGTATGGTCAATTGTCAAATATATTTAATGTCATCTTCTTCATTGACAAATGCCAATTAGCGTTGAGTTAACAAACCAGTGGTTGATATTGTGAGCATTTCACATTTGATCCACGCCATCGGTGTACAATTTAGTTCATTAACTAAAACAAGGAATACCAAAGTAGTCACATTTTGATGTACGATGCTACTAACCATCAGCCATTACAACGAACCACTCCGCATTTATACAGTCTCTTTCTGTCCCTTCTTACATGGACGCCCTGGAAAAGGATGGGCATATAGCCGAAATTGTAGCGCCGCGTGTTCCTTGTTTGCTTGTGGGAGCGCTGGGGTAGCCTAGTGGTTAAAGCGTTCGCTCGTCACGCCGAAGACCCGGGTTCGAGTCCCGACATGGGTACAATGTGTGAAGACCATTTCTGGTGTTCCCGCCGTGATATTGCTGGAATATTGTTAAAAGCGGCGTAAAATAATACTCACTCATTGTTTGATATTCAACACCACAGTCAGCAATATTCTGGGTGTATGACAACGGCATGTGACTAGTAGGGTCTGGACCAGGCATAAAAGTCACTGAACGTCTCACGCTGTTGGGCTGCGCTGATTCACAGTCGACCAAATCGCCGATCCCGACCAACAACCCATGAAGTCGTCTCGTACGACTAGTATAGATTGCTGTGGATCGATTCTATCCCCCATTCCCATCGGGTAGCGTTAGAATAAAAAGGTATGGAATTATATATAAATAGATATACACATAAACAATTAGTTGTTATTGGGTTGGTGTTAAAAATCGAGAAATAATGGTGTTGATGACAGTAAACGTGTTTTAAGGTGATAAGAGCCTAAATAAACATATTTCAATTGGAAAACCCACTTGTGTCAACTTGTATATACTATCTACATGTATATGACAGCTGTCTGTAATTAATCGAGTCTGGACCAGACAATCCAGTGATTGCATTGACAACCTGAGACTGACATCTACGCAATTGGGATACGATGGCATGCATTAACCAAGTCAGCGCGTCTGGTCACCTGATCCCGTTAGTCACCAGTTACAAGCATGGATGTTGAAGACCAATTTTAACCCGGATATTCACGGGTACTTTATGTAAATGTGCTGGTCATAATAATTGTTTATACGTGTTCATTTTCAATGAATAAAGCATTAACTGAACATCACTAAAACAACATGACATTTAGTTACCCTGGAGACACGGATCCGTGTATATATTTATATATTATATTCTACACTCCCAGGGAGCTTATAATGTCTTAGGCGCCAGAATGTTAGCAGGAACGTTTCAGTCTTAAAATTGTGTATGTTGGTTGACTGCTGTGAATAATCATCAACGCTTTAATTGTTTGATATGTTAACGTAATGGTCGTCGCCAAACTACAGACTGGGGAGACTTTGGAGCGCCGTGAGACTTTGCGAACCTAGAGAGCATCGTGGTACAAGGGAGGCTACTCTCATTCCCAACTCAAAATTTCAACACAGACCAACCTGTAATGCGTTTGTTGTTTTCAATATGGATTCAGTGCATCTTGCCCTTGCACATAAACGTACAACGACAAATAAACAATCAATTTATCATAATCATTTCAGCAAATTCGTGGGACCTCCGTTTGTTTTAAAGAATTTTGGTCCCGGACGGAAGTCTCCTTGATAATTTGAGGCAACTGCGCTCCTCATGTGGTCATCGTTGCTAATACTCCTTCATGCGAGTAATGCCACGTGCTATCCATGTCGGTATAATCACACAACAAATATATACACTGGTAAAATACTTTATTCACAAGTTGTTTCAGTAAAAGCATAGATAAATGCTTTGATCAATAACATGTGGACATATCACAAACTAAAATAAATTTCCAACATCGAAAAATACATGATCATAATAATTAAACAAAAGTATGCAATTCCTGAAATATATTTAACCTCAGAAGTGCCTTGTAAGAAGGGATATTGACACTTCTCGGTAAACAACAATGTCATTGAATATACTACTTAGAACACCCGATTCATTCGTATTATAGTTGATCTGTGTCAGTATTGTACTATGAAATAATTGGGTGATCTGTAATTTCTTGTGTAGTATGAGTATAAATATTCATACAATCTGTCTCCATAAAAAATATCCCGAAATTTTAAAAGTTTTTAAAACAAGTTGTTCAAGTAGTGTTGACAGGGTTTGTTCCATCCTGGGGGTGTGTACTTCACGTCAATGTAAACTGGCATTCCCTGCCTTCACTTTGCGGTAGCGCGTCTGGCCGAGTCTCACACCAATTCTGTAAACATGAAGTTAAAGATGTTAAGGTTCAGTTCTGCTAAACATCGTGGGTGTTAACAATATTGCAGGATACGCTAACGTTTTCGCGGTCATCACTGTTGTTTCGTGATTCCTTAACATTTGGAGGTGAAAGTGATGCATGTCTTAGACGTTTTCTAAAAACACGGACACGGTTTTGGTGTGCTGGCCAACCTATGATGAATCAGGGCAAGCGGGGGCACGGGTGACCCAGTCGTCTAAGGCGCCGTGATTCGCTGTGCAGAGTTGCGTCCCTCGGGCACGCCAGAAACCGATGATTGTGGGTTCGAATCCCGGTTCGCCCCGATTATGTTTCTAGGTTTGTCAGCACCATACCCGTGCTCGTGGGTTTCACCGAAGTGGTCAACGTCTGAGACCTGCATCACTTCGGGCTTTCCTCCAACATTAAGCTGACACGCCGTGACATAACTGAAATAATGTTAAAAGCGGCGTTAAACCCAACTCATTAACTCACTCACTCCGGGCAAGACTGGGATAAAAAAAAACACGGGCGCGCACAGCTGTTCCCCATTCTTACAGGACCCGTGAAGATCCGGGGTGGAATAGGTCTTCAGCAACCCATGCTTGCCGTAAAAGGTGACTATGCTTGTCGTAAAAGGCGACTAACGGGATCGGGTGGTCAGGCTCGCTGACTTGGTTGATGCATGTCATCGATCCCAATTGCGTGGATCGATGCTCATGATATTAATCACTGGATTGTCTGGTTCAGACTCGATTATTTACAAACCGCCGTCATATAGCTGGAATATTGCTGAGTGCGGCGTTAAACAACAAACCAACCAACCAACCCTTCTTACAGTGAGATTGGCAATGTACGGTTTGCCTTCTACATCATGTTCATTCGAGTTAATTCACATTGACAATCCCAGCAAGATGGAGCAAGATGGAGTCTATACTAAAAGTTTAGGATTTAAGGAAGAGAATATATGGATGTCAGCTTCTTTATTATCATCAGGTGATGAAGGAGTAAGCATATACTCCGAAACGTTGTGTTCCTCATAATACAGAAGTTGACATCCATATGTTCTCTTCCTTATGTGTACCACTTCTAAATGCCTTTCAAAGACCAGTATAGGATTTGTTTGCGTGTTGTTTAACGTCGCACTCAACAATATTCCAGCTCCAGCGGTCTGTAAATAATCGAGACAAGACCAGAGAATCCAGTGGTTGATATCAATACCATCGATCTCCGCAATTAGGATACGATGACATGTATCAGCGAGCCTGACCACCCGATCCCGACAAGCATGGGTTGCTGAGATCTATTCTAATCCGGATTTTCCCCGGGTTCAAACAGTACGATATCATGTTTTTTACCATATTTCAATTATTGAATAAGATGTCGCTAATAAGGGCACGCACTTTCTTGCAATAGCAGGGAAGTACTGGAACAGGTAGCAGTAGGTGAGTTCTGGGTTCCGTGACACCCACACTTCATCCAGTCTGTTGCTCATGGCGACGGCAATCAGTTGGGCGCATCGATCTGTAGCCATCCTGTTTTCGGAAGACCTCATCTCCACACCAAGACCCTGGGATAATACACAGAACATTGGCACTCAAGTCTTATCAACCTCGATTATCAAGTGCAGTATATATCTGTACACTGGATAATCGAGGTTGATGTGCTAAGTTAGAAATAGAAGACATGGAGATTGTGACGCCCCTTCCGCAACGCAGCTATGGTGGCGATGGATCCATCGATAGATAGCACAAAATTCTATCCATTTGAATGTGCGGATAATTTTCGCTTCGTGCGATTTGAATTGTTCTGAAAGGAATCGTTGGTATCGAATATGACCTGTATATTCATCATAGAAGAATGAATGTATAATACACTAGATAATCGAGGATGAGCTTTGTGGGAGTGAGTGAATGTTGTTAACATGCCTGTGATTCTTGTAAAACAATATTTATTTCGTTGAAAAATTAAAAGAAACAGTTCTGCCTCGGGTTTTACTAGTGTTCACCTGATGTATGACACAATTGATTGAATGGACTGTCATTCAAAGAGAAAAGGATGTTATATGTTGTGAAACCTTTAACCATGAAGTAAGGAAAGTGAGGCTGTGTAAAGTGGTTTGGTGGTTGCGAAGGTAATGTATATTCAGTCTAATTACTCAGTGTAATTTCCTAATATACTTAGTATGTGGTTAGAATCATGTTAAGTATCCGCGAAGTTGCTAAAGCTTTTCTTTAGATACAAAATCTTCAAAAAATGTGACGATATGGCTACAGTAAGTGCAGATGGTAGTGTATACAAAGAAATGATAATCATTATTATCTACACAAAGTTTTAGCTCGATCACTAATATTCTTTTACATTAGAATTTTATTTTCAATTCTGAAAAAAACTGCACCTATTTTAATCTACATCTGAACCACATACGTATCCTTCCGAAAAAACACATCCTGGGACTTCCAGAGTACTACAAGAGAACTTCCTTAAGATGTTTCACAACCTGAACAATTTTACTTCGTTAAACACATTTGCATATTTCAAGGCCATAGTATATCTCCGTTGAATTATGATGCAAGACAGGTTCCTCTCTTCATCAGTGTCGGAGAAGTTCACGGACGACCAACGTGGTCCCCCATATGCTCCTCCTTTCAAAGTAGTCACAGTCGTATTATTGTCTGCAACCAAAATCCAAGCCCCTACCACCCACCCCAACCTAACAGATTAAACGGTGCGTTTCTTAGTAGTTGTCGTAGGACTAAAATCTTTCACTGCATCACTTTTGTGGATCGTATCTCAGCTTGTTTTCCTGGGCCCACTTGCACAAAGCGATCTTAGCGCTAAGATGATCGAAACTCCCTTACTTTAACATAGGCTTACAATAGTCGTAGCGCTAAGATCGCTTTGTGCAAGTAGGCCCTGGTCCACTTGCACAAAGCGAGTTTAGCGCTACCACGATATTAGCTTGGATGCTTCAACATAGACTTATGACCTATATCATTCTGTTCAAGTGGCCACTGAACGTCCACCTCAACAAGAAAATGTTTACAATTTCTTGGTAGCTTTAATATGCTCCAGCAACATGACCTCCTTGTTCCTCTGGACATACCTCGCCACGTTCCTCAGTGAAGGCCGCCTTGAGAGCATCTGAGAAGACTGGTCCAGGACAGACCATCGTTATCTTGATGTTATCGTCGTAACCCTCGATGCGTAGACTCTCGAACCAACCCTTGTGTAGAAACACATACCTGTTACTTTGGAGAGTTTGTTTCGTTTGTTTGTTGTTTAACGCCGCTCTCAGCAATATTCCAGCTATATGACGGTGGTCTGTAAATAATCGAGTCTGGACCACACAATCCAGTGATTGACATCATGAGCATCGATCCACGTAATTGTGATACGATGACATGCATCAACCAAGTCAGCAATCCTGACCCCCCGATCCGTTTGTCGCCTCTTACGACAAACATAGTCGCCTTTAACGGCATGCATGGGCTGCTGAAGACCTATTCTACCCCGGATGTTCACGGGTCACTTTGGAGAGAAACACCCAACAGAAACATTCCACACAAATAAGACACGGATAATTAACTGTTCCTTCACATGAATACTTTCTGAAAATCAACATGTTGGTACAGTAAACTACGTTTATAACGAACACGCTTATAACGAACTGACGGATATAGCGAACTTATTTTTAGTCCCGACCATTTGTTGTATATATGTTGTATGTATGCTTATAACGAACAACGGTTATTACGAACTAAATTTAGTGGCCCCCTCGAGTTCGTTATAACCGTAGTTTACTGTATTTCGATGAAGGAAGTACTGTGCACAACTTGACTTGAGCACCGATGTAGAATATACGTCATCACATTCACAGAGGCTCTACGGACCTAGCTACAGCTATGACAGTGCGTCAGTCCTCACAGAGTCCGACATAGCTCTATAAAACTGGCGCCGTTGTTCGGTAGCTCGCCTGAATATGCATAATAATTTTTAACTGTTTTGTTTGTTTGTTAATATGAATTTCATTTCAACTTTGGGTGCTTTTCCGCTGGTTTACAATCTCTGATAAAAAAACCCAACTAAATTAATCTGAGAAATAAAAGTTAATCGTAAAGCTATTTCACCAGTTCACTATAATGGCAATTCCAAAGATATAAACACAAACATAAATGTCACAACATTTGGGATTTGGAGGAAATTATTCTTGTAATGGCCTTGTGCACACTTGTGTAGTGATGAAACAGGGGGCGGTAACGAATAAGGAGGAGCTTAGATCCTGGTACTGGTAAGGGACGCAACTCTCTACAGCGAATTGAGTCACCTAAAACAATTGGGCGCATGTCCAGTTTTTCAAAAGAACACACATAAAGACATACAATCGTTCGGCACTGAATATATAAACAGGCCACACAGTCAAGATTCATTCATCCATAACATTAACAGCTCTAGATACCTACATGCAGTGCGTGTTTTGATCCACAATACGACCCGATCCCAGGAGCACCTGAACAACACAGAACAACAGGGTGACCACAAAACAATACTTCAGTCGTGGGCCTTACACCGCGGACGTGTTTTCTGCTGAAGGTTGACATAATCCAGCAGTTTCTGTACAAATTACTTTTTGGGGGTCCATTGTACCTACTCCGGGTGTGCATCCGAGTTTTTGAATGTCTAAAGAGTCAACTGTCTGAGGGTTATTCTTGACGAGTCGTTTGTGTTCCATTTTGTAAACATGTGCAATTCTGGTACGGACCTATCTTCCCGAGGCAAGAGCGTCCACTAGCCTTTTTTAACCCTTGCCACATCCAGCCTACTTTCCTGTGCTAAATATGATTGGACTAGCGCACAAATCGATAGTCCAATGAGAGAAAGTTTCACAAAACCAACATCCACGACTGGTACACCTTCGTATGGAAGTGATTTACCGCTGCCTTTCTTTGTTGACACGGATATGTCTTCTTCATCTTTTGTGTCAGGGATGAAATCGCGAATGTTTACGTTATCTGATCGATTAGGTGGCCGCCTCTTGTAGCCGCCATCTTTGAGAAGCTACACGAGATCGGAACAGCGATCTGATTGGATATCGCGTTTTCATAACAAGGGGCACAACTCGTGATCTACGTCAGGGTCGAGCCAAGAAAAGTGGCCTTGGTGTGGCAAGGGTAGAAACTAGGCTTGTGAACACGCTTGCCTCAGGAAGATGGTACAGACCACGAGTCACTGAGATCTTGATTCCACATATTGGCTCAGAACAGTTATTTTTTTCCGTTTTCACAGAGAATTGTTAATTTGCGCGAAAACATAACATTATATATAACAGAATGTCCTTTTTTAGGCTAAGCATGCTGCTGTTGGTGATGTTGGTGACTGAACCCGAAGGATACCACAGGGTGGGGATTCCGGGATACAGCCGGTGCCTACAAACCCATGCTTGTGGTAAGAGACGACGAAGTGGATCGCATGGTGAGTCTCGTGGCTTGGTTGATTGTATGTCAGTGTGTGTGGGGTGTTGCTTATATCAATCACTGGTTTATCTGACCCAGACTCGATGTAGAGCGTGCATTGCTGACTCCAGAATAAAACAACAAATAACTCCGGAATAAAACAACAAATCAACAAACATATAACTACTTACCAAACTTGCCAGCAACGCTGGAGACAACAACCACCTGTCCTTGTTTACGCTGTACCATGTGAGGCAGGACAAGCTTGGTGAGGGAAACAGGTCCGAGGGTGTTGAGCTCCAAGCACTCCTTGTCCACCTCCAGGCTGGTTCTCAACCACAGAGCTCGCTGGGAGCGCCCAGCATTGTTCACCAGGCAGTCAATCTGAAATAACATGTAACCCAGAATAGTTAGCAGAGAATCTGAGTTTCAAGACGTGGTCGTTGGTAAAGTAAAACATGAAAAGGATATAGAAACAAGTGATTTCATCAGGTGTATAAGTAATAAATATGGAAAAAAACCAGAGTCCAGATATTCGTGCTTTTCACAACTCCTTTATCCACACAAGATCTTTCGCCGTTCAACGGCGCTTCGGGTTATCTTGTGTGGATAAAGGAGTTTTGACAAGCACGATCATCTAGACTCTGTTCTCTCTCTCTTTCTCTCTCTCTCTCTCAACGTAATTGAGACCCATCAATGCAACAAAGATAGATAGATAGATAGATAGATAGAAAGATAGATAGATATTATTACGTTTAGTGTAAGTTACAGGTCTTGCCATCATGGATGCTTGTTTTCTTAAAACATACAGAGAGCAACTGATATGAGCAAGAAATACACATGTACATTTTGAGACACTGAGAAAACGTATACTCTACTTTAACCCGAAATCAGAAAAGATTTGCGTTTTTGCGTTCAAGTCCATTTCCAAACACATCGAAAGAGATTAGAACACGTCCGACAAAATTGTATGATTATCTCACACCTAAATATCCAGTACCACTTATGTTGATTTCCGTGGCCATATTCCCAAATATTACAAAAAAATCGAGTAATACTATGCGTTTTCAAAGTGTCTGAGTATATGTATAATACAACTGTACAAATTTATGTTTCTTTGAGCAATTCGCTGTTACCAAGATTTGAAAGCGTGTATGACTAATTGCAGTTGATTATACATAGAAAACAGTTTTATTTGAATCAAGTTGGGGACAAGTGATACTTGTACAAATATTTGCCCCCCCCCCCCCCCCCGTCAAAAAAGTTAACAACGGCCTTGTACAATAATGTGATGATAGATGAGTGAAAAAAAAAAATATTAATAACATAATTAAAATAGAAACCCTAGAGTAAAAACTCAATTGCTCAAAATATTATCTGAAGCTCTGTTATAACTTAAAGAAATGTGTGGATGTTTGTCACTGACTTGTTTGAAGTGGGTGATGACAGTGTCCACTGCCTGCTGGTGTGTTCCCCTCTGGACCAGGTCCAGGGGAACAACCAGAATGTCCCCTTCTTGGACACCGCCGTACCGAGCTGAAATACCGTACAGAGTAACAGAGTGAGTGAGTATGGCTTTACGCCGCTTTAAGCAATATTCCACCAATATCACGGCGGGTGACACCAGAAATAGGCTTCACACATTGAACCCATGCTTGGAATCGAACCCGGGTCTTCGGCGTGACGAGCCAACGCTTTAACAACTAGGCTACCCCAACGCCCTGAAGTAACTGGTAGTCATTCAAGTATTGGTCATGCCTGCTTACACGTGCCAAGATGGACATTTATACAACTTTCGGTCCGCAAGTCCTGAGGGTACCCCACCTCTCTTTCGCACCCTTAATAAACAGTGAAGTTCCAGGGTAGAATAGGTCTTCAGGAACCCATGCTTGCCGTACAAGCTTGCCGGTCCAGGTAATTGTTGCTCTTGGTAATAATCACTGGATTGTCTGGTCCAGACTCGATTATTTACAGACCGCCGTCATGTAGCTGGAATATTGCTGTGTGCGGCGTAAAACAACAAACCAACCAACCATACCACATTAAACCATTTTATTTTTTATAACAGCCGACCGTAGTGGAGCAGAAAACTAACAAATAAACACGAGTTTTTATGGTACCAACAAAACAATTTTCCCGTCAAAAGTCTGTAAAGCAAGTTAAAAAAAGTGTGGCCTTACCTAAACAATTTTTCTTGACCCGGTTGAGTTCCTGTTCCCGCCTTGCTGACAGAATCAGACGACATCCGGCTTCTGCAAGCCTGTACGCGAGTCCTTCACCTATACCGCTAGAGGCGCCCGTCACCCACACGACCTTGCCCTTCAGTCGCTCTGGAAATATTATAATACACCACAATCTTAAATAGTGCAGGATGAAAGTCTTTATTAGCTTTCCTTTGCAACACAGTTAGACCAAGCTTATCTTGACGATATTCATTGAATAATTTAAAACCCTCCAACTTTTTAAACTGTTGTAGGAATTATGAATAGTGATAGGTACATTTATCCCTTAATACCAAGCTCCAGGTACGTGCGATCTTAAAACGTGTTTGGGTCTTGCGTTATCAGCCCCATACCTGTGTTCATGGGTTTTACCACAGTAGTAAGGGTTTAACAACTCCATTCCGGCTTTCCTACCACATCAAGCCCACATGTCGTGACAACAGAAACAATGTTGATAGCCGCAACCTCACTCACTCACTCACTTATTCACTCACTCACTCACTCACCCACCCAATCCCACTCACTCACTCACTCACTCACTCACTATCATTAACTGAATCCTAGCTTCACCTGGGGATCGTCCAAACATTTCCGCCCATTGCAGTGTGAGGTCACAGTCGGAGAAGATGAGTCGGAGGACCTGGACGACGAAGATAGTGACCAGTGCTGACACCAGCAACTCCAGCATCATCCCGGTCTGTTGTTTATCAAATATGAAGTGTTGTCCTTCACGAGAAAAAGGTCAAAGGTTACTTCTAATACAGTAGCTAATATATATTTGGCTAAGTTCTCGGTCTTTACACGATGACATACGACAAGCATGTTTTCAACCTGATAATTACGATTAGAATATTAATCATTCTGATTTTATATATCTATAACAATTTTACTGTTTGGGTATGGCATGTACATTTATATTTATCATTATTGTGTATATTTGAACAACCAATATTTCATTATTTCGCAAAAGCAATCATAACAAAATTGGTGGAAGTAAAACATTTTTACGAGCAATGGTAGCTGTTGATGTGATTTTACTGCAGCCGCGACTTATCTCGCTAAATTTCCTCAATCATCAAAATATGTTGTATTTTATTAGCGCTTCAATCAGTATTCGAAGGTTGATAATGAAAGAGTTATGCATCACGTGCGAGACGCATACACTCCTTTGCCAGTACGTATACATACTCACGTGTATCGTCTGTTTTCCTGGAAACTTATGTTTCTATAAAATGTTGAACGAGTCGTACTGAAAACTGATTAATCACTCTATACACTGCAAAAACTCACACCGACGTTCTAAATATCGGCATGTGACTTTGATTGCCTCCCTTTGAAAACAAAAGGGAGGTAATCGCGGTTGACAATTTCTGTAAACTGGTTCCGCGTTTTGTTCGCGAAGCAAGCTTAACACTTATAGTCACCAGGCAGCGACCAAATATATGAAACAAATTAGCGAGGTAATATTAATTTTGTCGTGACCACTTTTATTTCACAAACAAACTCTATGTAGTCAGCTTTTTATTCTCTTTCGATACCGTAGACCAAAGAATGATTTATTTATTGTTGTCCAAACACTGCCTATGTGAATTCTGCAACCGCCTGTCAACTCGTTTTGATAGACAGGAGCCCAGTCAACTATTTATTTCACCTACCTCTATCTTTTGACTCGCCCATTCACCTACTTCACACGCATCATTTGACTCCACTCGGCTAATTCCGTTATCTTATTGTCTCACGATGACCTTGAGGATTATCTCAAAGTATTGACCTCTGTTCTATAATAGCCCGAAGTAGACACACAATGTCGTTTGACAAAGTAATTGTCCTTCTTGGTATGAAACGGACTTCTTTACTTCCGTGGAACTTTACCTCACCGATTTTGAATCCAAGATGGTTCATTTTACATGATTTACGTATCACAAAACATATTTACTTATCAAAATAAAACTCAGTGTACTTAATCATATTGTCAGATACCACTACTCACCCACTACGCCCCTACCGACACAATACATACACCCCTACTCACCCACTACGCCCCTACCAACCCACTACGTACACCACTACTCACCAACTAGGCCCCTACCAACCCACAACGTACATCACTACTCACCCACTACGTACACCACTACTCACCAACTAGGCCCCTACCAACCCACAACGTACATCACTACTCACCCACTACGTACACCACTACTCACCCACTACGCCCCTACCAACACGTACACTACGTACACCAATACTCACCCACTACGCCCCTACCAACCCACTACGTACACCACTACTCACCCACTACGCCCCTACCAATCCACTACCTACACCAGTACTCACCAACTATGGCGCTACCAACCCACTACGTACACCACTACTCACCCACTACGACCCTACCCATCCACTACGTACACCACTACTCACCCACTACGCCCCTACCCACCAACTACGTACACCACTACTCACCAACTACGCCCCTACCCACCAACTACACCCCTCCCCACCCACTACGAACACAACTTCTCACAATCTACGCCTCTACCCTCCCACTACAGTCCTATCCATCCACTACGAACACCGCAACTCACCCTTTGCGCCTCTACCCTCCCACTACAGTCCTATCCATCCACTACGAACACCGCAACTCACCCTCTACCCTCCCACTACAGTCCTATCCATCCACTACGAACACTGCAACTCACCCTCTGCGCCTCTACCCTCCCACTACAGTCCTATCCATCCACTACGAACACCGCAACTTACCCTTTGCGCCTCTACCCTCCCACTACAGTCCTATCCATCCACTACGAACACCGCAACTCACCCTCTACCCTCCCACTACAGTCCTATCCATCCACTACGAACACCGCAACTCACTCTCTGCGCCTCTACCCTCCCACTACAGTCCTATCCATCAACTACGAACACCGCAACTCACCCTCTGCGCCTCTACCCTCCCACTACAGTCCTATCCATCCACTACGAACACCACAACTCACCCTCTGCGCCTCTACCCTCCCACTACAGTCCTATCCATCAACTACGAACACCACAACTCACCCTCTGCGCCTCTACCCTCCCACTACAGTCCTATCCATCCACTACGAACACCACAACTCACCCTCTGCGCCTCTACCCTCCCACTACAGTCCTATCCATCCACTACGAACACCACAACTCACCCTCTGCGCCTCTACCCTCCCACTTCAGTCCTATCCATCCATTACGAACACCGCAACTCACCCTCTGCGCCTCTACCCACCCACTACAGTCCTATCCATCCACTAAGAACACCGCAACTCACCCTCTACGCCTCTACCCACCCACTACAGTCCTATCCATCAACTACGAACACCGCAACTCACCCTCTGCGCCTCTACCCTCCCACTACAGTCCTATCCACCCACTACGAACACCGCAACTCACCCTCTACGCCTCTACCCACCCACTACAGTCCTATCCATCAACTACGAACACCGCAACTCACCCTCTGCGCCTCTACCCTCCCACTACAGTCCTATCCATCAACTACGAACACCGCAACTCACCCTCTACGCCTCTACCCTCCCACTACAGTCCTATCCATCCACTACGAACACCGCAACTCACCCTCTACCCTCCCACTACAGTCCTATCCATCCACTACGAACACCGCAACTCACCCTCTGCACCTCTACCCACTCCCTCAACCCCTGACTTCCACCGTGGTTTAGTGGTAGAGCATGCGTCCGGAGAGCGGAAGGTCCGGGCTTCCATCCCCGGCCGTGTCATACCAAAATATGTTATATATGGTACTTGTTGTTTTTAAGCTCGGCTCGGCATTAAGGGGCTTAAACAAGGACTAGTCGGCACACAGTCAATATACTGTGTCTGAGTAGGGTATTCATGTTAAACTGCGGCCTAGTATCTCAGTGTGCTAGCACTATAAATTCGGCATTCGCCATAGAAGTGCAATAAACTTGAACGCGACGTTAAACCCTATTTCACCCCTATCAATGCACTACACCCCTACCTAAACGTGAAGACCCGGGGTAGAATAGGTCTTCAGCAACCCATGCTTGGCGACTATGCCTGTCGTAAGAGGCGACTAACAGGATCGGGCGGTCAGGCTCGCTAACTTGGTTGATGCATGTCATCGTATCCCTATTGCGTGGATCGATGTTCATGATGTCCAGACTCAATTATTTACAGACCGCCTTCATGTCGCTGGGATATTGCTGGGTGCGTCGTTAAAGAACAAACAAAACAAACCTACCTTCCCCCACGTCTCTACCCATTCACTATGCCCCTCATCATCTATTAAACCCCTACTCTTCCAATACATCCCTCCTCAATCACGAGACGCTTCCTCACCCACCACACGCCTTCTTGTTTACTACACTTTTACTCACCAACTTCACCCCTCCTCACCCACTACGCACTTACGACCAATTACACCCGACTCGTCCATTCACCTACTTCACACCTATACCCACCCACTACGCCCCTACACACCAACTTCACCCCTCCTCACCCACTACGCACCTACTACCAATTACACCCGACTCACCAATTCACCTACTTCACACCTATACCCACCCACTACGCCCCTACCCACCAACTTCACCCCTACCCACCCACTACGCACCTACTACCAATTAATTACACCCGACTCACCCATTCACCTACTTCACACCTATACCCACCCATTACGCACCTACCCACCAACTTCACCCCTCCTCACCCACTACGCACCTACCAATTACACCCGACTCACCAATTCACCTACTTCACACCTACACCCACCCACTACGCCCCTACCCACCAACTTCACCCCTACCCACCCACTACGCACCTACTACCAATTACATCCGACTCACCAATTCACCTACTTCACACCACTACCCACCCACTACGCCCCTACCCACCAACTTCACCCTCCTCACCCACTACGCACCTACTACCAATTACACCCGACTCACCAATTCATTACTTCACACCACTACCCACCCACTACGCCCCTACCCACCAATTACACCTCTTCTCACCCACTACGCCCTAATGCCACTTATTTTCAGAAGTCATGTTAACGTGAGATCATGCATACAGTAAGGAATCCATGCCACCATGATGCGTGATTGGGTATTGGATATCAAACGGAGCTTCTCTGACCACGATTCTCACTTAAACAATGACGACTGAAACACATAGATTATTTAACATGGGAAGACGGTTTATATCGACCGACACCAAGTCTCGACAAACAAAAGAATAGAACGAATCCGCACTGTTGACCTAACAGATCAGACTTGAAATTGATTTCTCGGTCAAGTCAAGAAGCTTGCGCGTCACACAGACCATTGCTGATGCTCTGCCATATGTCAGCCTTAATTAGATTTCTTTTCGAGATATTAAGATATCACATACCAGATAAGGACATGACTGGTAATGAAAATGCAGAATTCATAATCAACGTGTGTACACACCGGAGAATTGGAGGAAAGGTCTCAACAAATTAATTATTTCTTCTTTGAAGCTACAGTGTAATTGGCAGTTATTGTGTGTGTCCGTCTTTCATGGACCGCTTCTCCTTTGAAATCTCCAGACCAAACGTAGCTGGAACTTGGCATGCACGCATCTACCTTTATGATAACAGCGTTTGTCTTACGATTTATTCATGTCTTCTTTCATGATTTGAAAAAACAACAACAACTAATTGAAATATTTAGAAAATATTCAAATAGCTTCTGAACCCCATGACCTATAAAGGCGGGATAATGACTATTTGCCCTAAGATATTCAAATGTTTCATAAGCGTTCACCTGCAGCTTCGCGGATGCTTCTTGATAGTACGGGTGTAGGTCAAAAATTATTTAATATAAAAACCTTTATTACTTCTTTCCGAAACTGCTGAACCGATTGTGTTGAAACTTAAAATAAGGAATATTCACATAAAGGTGTACATATGCAGGTTTAAACAGTCTGAGGGTTAATTGTTTCATGAACAAATGTCTCCCGTGAAGATCTGGGTTAGAATTGTTCTTCAGCAACCAATGTTTGTCGTAAGAGGCGACAAAAAGGTTCGTGTGGTCAGGCTCGCTGACTTAGCTAATGCATGTCATCGTATCCAAAGTGTGTGCTCATTATGTCAATCACTGGATTGTCTGGTCCAGACTCGATTTTTACAGACCGCCGTCATATAGCTGGAATATTGCTGAGTGCGGCCGTAAACAACAAACATACAAAACATGAACAAATGTTGTTTTCCTGGAATCGTTTTCTGCAAGATTATTATATTTGGCATTTTAAAAGAAAGCTTACGTGTATAGGTTGACATACGATTTTATACCTTATTTTGTTGTAGGTTTACTCAGCATGTATCTCCTCGTTATAGGGGTGTATCTGTTTATTATTTATCAGAGGAGTTGAATGTTAACGCGGGGCGTAAAAGTGATGCTCGACATACATGTTCCGCCTTTTACTAGTGTCACTTGCACTTAAGCACTTTCACCGTGTGTTGCCATGACGCTATATCTCGGTAATAGCACTGAAAGTAGCCGTCTTGTATGCACTGGTAAATAAATGATGTGTCGGATTTTAGCTCTGTCGGCTTTACTGGTTCATTTGCTCCGTACACGCGGCAGTGATTCCCCAGTCGTCTAATTCGAGGTGCACAATTACCCCTCCATAACCGTGCCAGGAAACTATGATCGTGGGTTCGAATCCCAGAATTAGATCCCATTATGTTTCCAGGTATATCAGCACCTTTCCAGTGCTCGTTGGTTTCAACAAGGTGGTGTTACTTTGCAGACTTGTTTCGGGATTTGCTCCGACATCTAGCCAACACTGCAAGATTTAACTCAAATGCTGTGTTCAAAGTGGCGCTAAATACAACGCATTCACTCAGTGACTCACTGAAGCGCATGTCGTTAGTGGTGTGTCGTCAAACAAATGGAAACTGATGACCTTGTTTTGTAGGTTTATAAGGCTGCAATAGTGCAGCTCTATCCCACGGCCTCTCTATAATCGAGTCAGGGCCAGACTGATCAATGATTGATATTGTCAGCAGGGTCCCATGCAATCGGATACTTTGTTGTTTAAATTAGATTTACTGAATAAATATTGATGGTAAAGTTGATGATACGGGCAAAACCGTAGAAGTGGATGTAATACGGTATGCGGGGCTATCATCTTTTACCCGGAGGGAGGATGCGAATGAAGAATTTGTTTTGAACGTTATAATGAGACGATGTTAAAATGGTCACACGTTGGTTGATCAATGTTACAGCATTCAAGGCCTCGGTAAAGTGTTCAAAACGTTATACAGTAAACTACGGTTATAACGAACACGCTTATAACGAACTGACGAATATAACGAACTTACTTTTTGGTCCCGACTACTTGCTGTAGTCATGCTGTATATGTACTTATAACGAACTACGGTTATAACGAACTAAAACTAGTAGTCCCTTTGAGTTCGTTATAACCGTACTTTACTGTACTGTGGACATGTGGAGGACATATCCAAATAACACGCATCAGTGACGAAAATAATGTCCGATGCGATGCAAGTCCTTATTTTAACTTGTACGATATGTTGCCGTCCTTTTCAGGTGAACAATTGACTTGCCTTTGCATGTGTTTGGGATTGGTGCCACTGAAAGGCTCACCTTCTTACGAACACTTGGTATCATTGCTATTTGATATTCATTCATATACACATGCTCATGATGCATTCCGAATCGTAAATCTACTCTGCTGTTAGCAGAGATTATCCTGAATATGGGAAGGGTTTTGTCGCTTTTATTAATATGAATTCGATAGTGATATTACGAATGAACGAGTAATGAACGGTTTAATAAAAAAATAAAGTTAAAATAATGAAACCAACACTTAAGATATAGTTATTTTATCTTAACGATTGTTTCCTTTACATTCATGATTGGGTCAATCGCTGGCAAAACATTTGCAAACTTTTTAAGCAGACACATGGCTTTGTGCAGGGCATCGATTGCTGACGTTGCTGTTAACACCGTCTTCCCTTCAAGGCCACGTGTCCACGTGTTGTGGTACTTAGCCACCTTCCCATCAACAGTGTCCAGCAACACGTGAGGCACGTGCAGGAGAGTGGACATGATGTGTCCATGCAGACGATCAGTGACCACTACCCGACCGCGCTGAAGAAACGTGAATCCATTCACAGCAACAAGGAACATATTTTCGGTGGATTTCGACCCTTTAGCTGTCATCCACGTTCTCCAGTCTCCGACTGTGACTGATACGTTTGATGGGAATTCGGGAATTCTGTAATGAGCGGACTCTATGTCATTACGTGCCATCCACAGAATGTCATAGGAAGGCTGCAGGTATCTGGCCACTGATCCAATCTGAAAAGCAGAATCCGGCACAAGAAGGCGCCTAGTTCGTGGGAAATGCTTCGCAGCAAGTCTCAACGAGACAACGTCCCTCAAAAGCAGTGTCACGTTAGGGTGTCTCGCATACACCTTCTCAGTGTCGCCGATGTGAGTTCTGTCAAGATGTCTCGGATTAATCCATATACTCTGTGGCATTACAAATATATCAAAACCATGAAATATTTCAAACACTCTACCCCTCAGGACATCCGATTCTTTATAGGCGATCATATTCCCTCCGCCGTGGCATAACACAGCAACATTCTGGACGCCGTACAGTATAGCCTTGCCTCTTCCAGCCATTAGGTTCATATCACTACAAGCATATGTGCTGCAGTAGAAGATGACTTCTTTACCGAGCTCCTTCATCAGAAGCAGCTCCCCAGCACTGATAGAGGCATCCCCTTTATTCTCATGTACTGCCAGATCGGTCAACACAACGTAATCATAGCGCCCAATGAGACGACGAAATAAGTCTATTTGAATATCTCGACTCTTTCTTATGACGTCCTCGAATGTTGACATTGATGAAACATGTTTGTAAATATTGCTGTTCCAATCCATATCCAGTTGAATCGAGTTCCAATTGGAGACATGCAAATGGCGTCTGTTATCGCTAGCGTTACCGATATGAAGTCGGTTTGTAAGTAGAGTATGTTGTTGTGTCCCCTTTGATTCCAGCGGGGTATTCTGTACGACATTTACTCGGGAGGTAATCCAATGTTGAAACACGTCAAACGCGCTGGCCTCATTTCGCACATGTGCATTGTTTATTGACCCATCAACCAGAATTGTTGGAGACAAAGGGGTTCCAACTTGGACGATCAACAAAAGACATGTCACTACTGTAACCACATAGGTAAGGTTTTGTTGACAAGCGAACTTTATGTTTTTGCCTGCAAATAAAAGGAACGAAGAGTGAACAAATGGTGCAAATGTGGATTGAGGAAGGAAAGTATACACCTACAATAGTGAGTGAGTGAGTGAGTGAGTGAGTGAGTGAGTGAGTGAGTATGGTTTTACGCCGCTTTTAGCAATATTCCAGCAATATCACGGCGGGGGACACCAGAAATGGGCTTCACACATTGTACCCATGTCGGGAATCGAACCCGGGTCTTCGGCTTGACGAGCGAACGCTTTAACCACTAGGCTACCCGACCGCCCCACCTACACAATAAGTTGTTTTACTCTTACATATTGTTTTGCTGCGCCCTTTTGTGTTGTGAATAGTAAACACAAATCATACACTTTTTACTTTTTACATAATAAGAAATGAAAGAAATGTAGGCTAAAAAAGCATTCATCGTTGTGAAACTTTAAAATCTGAAACATTTCTTTTAGCAGAGATTTCTTGTGGATATTGAAAGGGTCTTGTCGCTTTTATTTGAGTCATACATTTCTTGACTTTGATGGACAGGGTTATGCCATAATTAAATATATGTATGTCAATTTGTGTTTTTCATGTATTGTTATCTTCCGCCTACGTGGTCTAGTGGTCTAGTGGTCTAGTGCATCTGCCCCGGCGAACAGAAGGTCGGTGGTTCGATACTCGGCCGCGTCATACCAAATAACGTTAAAAGATAGTATTTATTGTTACCCTGCCTGGCGTTTCCGCATAAATGGGATAAAACAAGTACTGTTCGGTACACTGTGTTTGAGTGGAGAATACATGTTTACCTGTGGCATGATATCTCAGGTGGCAAGCACTATAAAACAAAGTCCGGACTAGTACAAGCAGGTACAGACACACGTGCAAGCACCTCACTATATACGTGCAATAACCTTGAACGCGACGGTAAACCCCATTTCACCTCACCGCCACGCATATGGTTATTTTAAACATTTACCTATGCCATGTGCTATACCTTACCCAATGAGTAGTGAGAACGTGTTGATGTAAGTTTTAGACATCGAACATTTATGGCTAACAACGTCTGCATTGTTTGTTACGACGTATCATGGCTACTCCTGGTCCCTTCGTCAAAAGGAACAAAACGTAGCCAACAATAGTCGTTTCAAACAATAAAGATAATTGTTTTCCATAAATGTTTCATGTCTGTGTTCTTCCAACTGATATATGCCTTTATCAGAGAATAAACATGTAAGTTATATATCAGCTTATGAGTTCCACATCTACCTGTGATATCCTGAGCTCTCCCTCTGAAGGAATACACAGCTAGGCCCAGGGATGCTGTTGCCAGACCTATCAGGTTGAATGTTGTCACATGTCTTTGTCCAGCCACACACAGCAACAACACGACGGTAACACGTTTGAAGATGTTGATGACGGCGTGGGATACAACAGAGACTCTCTTCAGCACCATGGCAACGGACAAGTAGGAATACAGAGAGTGAGAGATGGCAGTTGTAGTTAAGAGAAGTGGTTTTAGTAAAACATCCTGATGGCAAATGAGCATTGATATACCAACACAAAGCACTGTGACAACAATTACTGTCGCTGTACGTTTCGAACTCCGTGGAATTATTATGCAACCTTGGATAAAACCGTTCTTCAGGAATATGTTTCTGAATCCTAGTGCGACATTTGACATCAGTACGATTAACACAGCTCCAAATTGCACGCCATCTTGAAGGGGGTCAACAATGAACATTAAACCACCTAGTCCAACGGTGACTAAGCTGACAATCATAGTCGAATCTGGACGGTATTGCTGTATTGCACACTGAATGACGGCGCTTGTGATTGGCTCTAGCATTCTGATGGCGAAAGCTGATGATGCTGGAATGAGTGCAAGGCTGTCATTGGTTAGAAATGTTGCTACCACGTGATAACATACAACCAGGAGTGAGTGAGTGCTGTCGTGAGACGCTGTTTTCAGCCGAACCTTGAACACACTGACGCATACAATCACTTGAATCATTGAGACAGTGAGGACGCCAGGTACAGGGCCAGGGGACAGACGGAGATACATGGCGGCCGATTGATGACAAATGAATGCTGTCACTGTCCACGTAAGGAAGATGAGGAGGTTGACAAAGACACTCGAAAGACAAAGAACCTGCAAAACAAGTGTCAGTGATAAATCTATTTCAATATCAAAACCATGAAATTAACGATCGCAGACTTTGCTTGTTTGTTTGTTTGTTTGTTTCTTGTTTAACGCCGCACTCAGCAATATTCCAGCTGTCTGTTAGTAATCGAGACTGGACCAGACAATCCAGTGATTGACAATATGAGCATCGATCCACGCAATTGGGCTCGATGACATGCATCAACCACGTCAGCGAGCCTGACCACCCGATCCCGTTAGTCGCCTCTTACGACAAGCATAGTCGCCTTTTACGGCAAGCTTGGGTTGCTGAAGACCTATTCTACCCCGGATCATCAGACTAACGATCATTTGATTCGCACTTATGTCGACTAACTTTATCAGCAGCATGGTGATTTGGAGCGCCTTAAACCACTATTTTACAGAAATGTAGATTTGTGAAGAAAATTCAAAGTGTGATTACACAGAATATAGTTTCTCCTTCAACAAAACTCATTAAAATTGTGGCCCCATAATGATCCGGGGTAGCATTGATCTTCATCAACCAATGCTTGTCGTAAGAGGCGACCATATGCTTATCACAAGTGGCGACTAAAAGGATCGGGTGGTCAGACTAGCTGACTTGATGCTTGTAATCGCATCCCAATTACGTTGATCGATGGTCATAATTTCAATCACTGGATTGTCTGGCCCAGACCGCCGTCATATAACTGGATTATTGTTGAGTGCGGCGTTAAACAGCAAACAAACAAACATTAATTATTGTGAATGATGTTAACTTCCTACTCACTTTGTAACATTGAGTACAATTTATCCACCTTGAATGCCAGATTAATGTTTCTATGCTTGAAACAGTTTTGTTTTCTTTAAAACATGTGTTCAACTGAGCATTAATTACGTTTACAAATAAAATTGATAAACAGTACAATAACATGTGACTTTGGAATAATGTCTAAACTCTATCATTACAAACCCATTGTCACTTACTGTGTGTTCCTGGCGATTCATCGTGGCGTTGTTTCTGTGTCTAGCATCCACAAGAATAACAAAACGTTCCACTCTGTTACTGATGCAAAACCCGTGTGACGATTAGCGGTCCGAATGCCTGGCAATGACAATGTTGTTTCCTCACAATAATAAATAATAAACACGTATGGGGACAGACACGAGAATCCGGGTGTCTCGGTAAGTTTATATTCCCCTATGGTTCAATTCAAAAATAATTGTCCCACGCATGGATGGCAACGATGTCCTTTGATCTGTTTGGTCGGTTTTGTTTGGGACTCGGCTCAGCCTCATGTTATATTGACAGCAGTAAACAAACACGCCAAACAGAACGACAACCCTTGAGCTGGTGACATCGTTATTACCTATTGAAACATCGAACAAATCACAGCTGTATTATAAAGTCGGGTGGCGCTGACATAACATACAAATCATCCGTCTATCATTCAAATAATGTCGAGCAAACCTTTACGGAACAAAAGATTAGTTTCAAAAATTCATAACTGTTCATTTTCAGCCGTTTGATGCAATGACGTGGCTGTTGCGAGTCCAATACTTCTATAAGCTGGGTTGCCAGATTTACATAACTTCCAGCGTTATGGGTGGTCGGGTAGCCTAGTGGTTCGATCGTCACGCCGAAGACCCGGGTTCGATTCCCGACATGGGTACAATTTGTGAAGCCCATTTCTGGTGTCCCCCGCCGTGATATTGTTGGAATATCGCTAAAAGCGGCGTAAAACCATACTCACTCGCTCACTCCAGCGTTACGTTTACTGGTATTACGTCAGCTGTAAGAAACCTTGCAGTAGCCGTTTATTTCGAAGGGGAGTTGTTTATCGTAAAATAAAACACTGCAGGGAGAATAAAACATGGTTTATTCTCCCTGCAGTGTTTCTTTGCAAGGTTAATAACGACCACGAGTCGTTTGTTTCTTATATGAGACATCAACATTATTAAGAACCCCCAAATTACCAGATTTACAGGCTAAAGACATACTCACCCGTATTGAAATAATGATGAGTCCCTGAATACAATCCGATCACAAGTCCAATTTACGAACAGGGGAGCTTACTTTGGTATTTCATGAATATTCTCAATTTTCTCGTTGATTATCTGTTCCTTTTCTCCCCAAACCGATTGCCATATCTCGCCCACTGCTGGGTGCGATCGTTCGGCCATTGCGTTTATTTGCGTTGCCCAGCTGCATCTAAAGGGAACAACTCACTACCCTCTAGAATTTACGTCATCAGGTCGCGTGCGCTTTTTCGAATGTACAGAAACGACGTCATGATAGAACAATGTTTTATCATCGAATAAACCACGCCTTGGTCTTCGTTGTACTTTGTCGAGTTACTATCTTATATGAAATATTCGATATCTCTGCTCTAATGTGACATGTACATACACTTGTTCCGTTAACGAAGTCGTCGTTTGTTAAACGCCCAACTTGCACTAATGAGTACAATCGATATTTCCCGAGCATGACAATGGAATAATGTTCAATTGTTTGCTTTTGTTATTCTGCAATGGATGCCAAACGGATGCTTAAGTACTTGTGTAAATTGTGTAACGTGTGCTCATATTCCCAAAGCAACATAGATTGTCGGAGCATGAGATTTGGCTGAGATGATGGTAACCAGGGAGACAAAAAGGAATACACTGAATTAATCACTCACACAAACACACACAAACACACACACAGACACACACAGACACACACAGACACACACACACAACACGCACACAGTAACACACACACACACACAGACTAACACACACACACACACACTAACACACACACACACGCGCGCGCGCACACACTAACACTAACACGCATACACACGCACACACTAACACACACTCTAACACACACACACGCACACACACTAACACGCGCACACACGCACACACTAACACACACACTAACACACATACATTAACACACACTCTAACACACACACACTAACACGCGCACACAAACACACACACACACAAATATCAGTAGGCTAGCGGTATTAACCCGGAATAAGTCTGAACTAGTAAAGGCAAACACACACACTACCACACACACTACCACTCTAACACACACACACTACCACACACACACTAACATACACACACACACACTAACACCCACACACTAACATACACACACTAACACACCCAGACACACTAACACACATACACACACACTAACACGCACACACACAAATATCAGTGGGCTAGCACTATAAACCCGGAATAAGTCCGAACTTGTAACGGCACACACACACACACACACACACACAAACACACACACACACAAACACACACACACACACACACACACACACACACACACACACACACACACACACACACACACACACACACACACACACACACACTAACACACACACACTAACACACACAGACACACACACTAACACACACACACACTAACACACACACTAACAATAACACAAGCACACACACTAACACACACACTTACACTTACACACACAAACACACACACAAATATCAGTGAGCTAGCACTATAACCCCCCCCCCCCCACACACACACACACACTAACACTAACACATATACACTAACACACACACACATACACCCACTAACACACACACCCACACCCACTAACACACGCACACACACTAACACACGCACTTACACACATACACACACACTAACACACACACATTCACACACACATACACACACACACACACACACACACATTAACGCACACACACACTAACATACATACATACACACACACACACACACGCACACACACTAACACACACACACACACACACACACACACACACACACACACACACGCACATACACACAAATAGCTGGTCTCTTGCCTGTTGATTGCCACAATATCTCTTTAAGTTAATCCAACGTATGGATATTAATAACTAAGTGAAATGGCGACAGTTCTGATTAAGGAGTCATGGAAACAGTGTTCTCCGGGACCTTGTCCTATACTGGTGTCTTACAGTGTAGCACTATGAATGGAGTTAGCCCAATCTCAAGATTGCCATGTATATATATTTCCATTAATATGCCTGTGTGATCTGGCGTGGAGCTTACCAGCATAGATTGATACGAGGGTTGATCGATATAGATTTGGTGAATTTGATCCGTCCATGTTTTAAACAGGTGTGTTTAACTTCCAAGTGAAGAACAGTATTGTTTCATACTGTATTTACTAGTGTCTGGTTGTGTACATTTGTAGCTGTACCTAAGGTTAGGCTGCAATAAACTGTATGTCTGTTTTTCTGCCAAACTTACAACAACAATGGTCCACTGCACAGTTAATCTCATGCCAATTCTGGTTTATTTTATATTTTATTTTTTACTAGATAATAGATACAGGGACATACATTACTGTTCCAACTGTAAATTGTCTCTCAAAGACTTAAACCTGTAACTCTCATTAAGTGATACTGAATGAATAAAGACTTGTTTTTTAAGATTTATTAAAATATAATGCATTCTTCATAATACATTTCTTCACATTGAATATGTAAAAAACCCCAAACGTTTTACAGTTTTTAATATGACAACCCATAACACTATGAATATGAAGTTACAAAAAATGTCAACAGCTGTAACTTGTCACAGATCAAAATGGATTCTAGCCAAATCTGGTCGTCCTTGACACAGAATACATGAACTGGTTGCGTTACCTCCCACAGAGAAAGAAAGGATTAAAACTCCTAAAGAAATCCCATCTAAATTGACGGCGGTCGGGTAGCCTAGTGGTTAAAGCGTTCGCTCGTCACGCCGAAGACCCGTTTTCGATTCCCGACATGGGTACAATGTGTGAAGCCCATTTCTGGCGTCCCCCGCCGTGATATAGCTGGACTATTGCTAAAAGCGGCGTAAAAAATACTCACTCACTCACCCCATCTAAATTCACTGACAATTTCCTATAATAATAAAGAGTTAACTTTGATATCCCCAAACACTAATACTCAGTATGATCAATGGGCAATTTAAAAATCACAAAGACAAATGAGATCATGTTTACATGGTCACATCCGATGATTGTTAAGATCACAAATCCTATCTACAGTCGGACAACATGGTATATGTTACAAATATTCTGCAAAGATATCCACAATCCCCCATCAAAGTTCCTCTTACCAATTCTTACAAAAAAGTGGAAACTACAAATCACCCATTTTCGTCCTGAGTCACCCATTTGCCTCTCAACATGATAATATTATAACTTTGGTTATTAATCTATCATGTTTACAATTAATTATTTATCTACGTCCCTTCTAAGAAATGTGTATTACCTTTAGCCGTGGCGGGTAGCCCAATCAAACTATAGACAAATGCATTTACCTCATTGTGATAGTGTAGCTCACATAATTCTTGCCTACACCAAAGAATGTAGTCAAGTATTATGTGAGATAATAATATTTATTATATATTTAGTAGCGTAAATTTCATCCTTGCGACGGAAATTATTTACGATGACTTTGATCATTTAAGAAAACTATGTTTCAAACGTCAATGGTTTATGATTGTGTACTTCTCATGACTATGATGATAATAAGGATTTTCGTAATATTATTTCAAATGACATATAAATGGCATTTTGTCATTTTAAGTTGGCATTGGTCTCTGAATGGATGGCTTCCTTCTTTGTTTTTTCATAAGTTTCTTGCAGTTTTCTTTTTCCAGTGATTGATGTTGGTATGGAAAATTTTGGTTTGTTGCCAGGAAATATAGTTGTCTGAATTGTCATAATATTTTTATTTTTGTACATTAATCCAACCTTTTGTAAATATATGATCTAATGAAGGGACCATGAAAAGTCGACGTAAAGAATAAAGTGGTTGTTATTCATAAACAAGTCTCACGTATTCATCATCTGTCATGTTTTGTTTCGACTGTATGCACCGGAAGTGGAGAGTTGTCCGAGGAGACAACTCTGTCGGTTTTTCGTTTCTCCAACAGACCCTATATCATATGTCAGATAATTCCTCAGGCGTATGTAAGAGATATAACAGGTATGAGGTTCTAATTGCAGGGGGCTGCTTAATTAAACGCCAACCATTCATTTGCAATATTTAAATAACGTACAAATGGACATAAATGAATCTTAACATATTATCAAATATTTTAAATGCTCAGTGTTGTCTAACCAAACAATAGGGGATGATTCTGTACCGTTAATGTTTGACGGTGTCAAAACGTCTAGTTATGCTTTACGTCATATTGAATAATATCAGGGAGTGTTGAGTTGTATTTCTGTAAGAGTTCCATCGCCATGTCAGCAGCTTGAACGCTTGTGTTGGCAAATTTCACAAACTCCATACCCCTCGTCCAGCTGTGCCTGTAGCTGGACACCTTGTGGTAGTTGTTGTCCAGTATCACGTGGGGGATGCCCAGCAGGGTGGACAGGATGTGTCCGTGCAGGCGGTCAGTGATCACCACGCGGCCTCTCTGAAGGAACATCATGCCGTTGGTTGCAATGGTAAATGCCTTTTCCATAGAACTGTCATTACAGGCCGAATGCCAGTGTATCCAGTCGGAAACGCGAACCGAGACATGCGCGGGGAAGACCGGCGGATCATATCCGGTTGTTTCAGCGTCACGGCGTTTTAGCCACAAGATGTCGAAGGATGGTGGCATAAACCGCGAAACTGGTCCAATTTGGAACGCCATATCCGGCGCCAAGATAATATTAGCTCGAGTGAAAACACCTTTTGCTCTTTTCAGTGAAAGCCTGTCTCGCACCATCACAGTCAGGTTGTCGTGCTGGTTATACATATGGGTGTAGCGACGAACTTTTTTCGCTCTATAGCGAAACCAAATGCTTTGTGGAAACAGTATTATCTTATGTTTTGTAAATGTTGTAATGACCAGTTTTCTCACAGTTTCAGCTCTCTCGTATGAAAAAATGTTCCCCCCTCCTTGTAGCAGTATAACCAGATCATCATTGGAATAGAGTTTGCTTTCTTCAAATGCCGTTTCTATTGCACCTGCCTTACACTTGGATGTTACGCAATAGTACACAAGCTGGATGCCCAGTCTTCTCAGGAGACGGATCTCGCCCACAGCTATGGCCGGGTCGCCTTTGTTCTCGTAGTCCGCTACATCAAATAACATGGCGTATTTATACCTCCCGATCAAATCACTGAAAAGGTTCATATGTATTCTTTGGGCTTCATTTATGACGTCATAACGTGACGTCATTAAAGGTGACATTTGATCAGTTTCTGTCGGATGTTCTACCAATCTCCATTTCAGAAACTCGTCCTTTACTGATGTATGATTGTTCGAATCATACGTTACATTTGAATACATAGTGTAGACATCATCTTCACGACCTCGCTCTTCAGGTGATGAACCAAACGACGAATCTGAGAAGTACACCGATAGAATAACTAGTCCAGTTAAAACAGCCAGTATGAAAGTCCCTGCCTTGTACGTGCGTACACCTGCAATGAACGATAAGTCTGTATAAGATTACAAGTGCAAAAACAATGTTCGACCCCCCAAGTCAGTTATAATCCAGCTATATCCCGGCGGCATGTAAATTAATTCTAGAACGATCATCGCCCCACGCCGTCCGTCTGGGTACAGTTATCTCCCAAAACCCCTACATCCCATTTCCCCTACAACCCAGTTCCCCTACAATTAGTTAAAACAACACGCGGCATTTACCTGTCTGGCATTATGAACTCACCTAAAGGAGAGATTAAGGTCTGGAGTAGAGGTAGTAGAAATGAAAGGGGTAGAGCTTTAGGGGATTAGGGGACTTAAAGGAAAATTAAAAAAAAAAAATTAATGTAAGTGTAATGAAAGATGCCTGTATGATGAGAAGACAATTTTTAGAAATTACAAACAACAATAGGAAGAAACAATTATTACACTGAGAAACTGAGATGAGACGATTTACAGTTGAGATGAAAAATGAACATTTTGTTACAATGTATTATGAATTTTGAAAAATGAACATTTTATTATAATGTATTATGAATTTTGAAAAATAAAGCCTTTTATTATAATGTATTATGAATTTTGAATAATATCGTAATCGTAATTAAATATTTATCTCAATCTATTCAAGTTTCTTGGGTTGTTCCATTGTATGAAATAGGTAACAGACTAGGGATTAGCAGTGCCATGAACCGTGAACTTTGTTGTCTTAAGCTGTAGGGGAAATGGGATGTAGGGGTTTTGGGAGGTTACCCTGGGTACCATGACACGCAATCAACAAAGTCCCAGTGACTGACCATTCGATTCCATTTTAGTCGTCACTTACGACCAGCGGGAGTAACTACGGATCTATTCTGACATTATTTGTTGTTTAACGCTACTGTCAGCAATATTACAGCAATTTGACGACGATCTGTAAATATTCGAGTTTGGACCAGAGAATCCAGTGATTGTTATTGTGAAAAACGATTTACGCAATTAGGATACGATGACATGATCCGAGCCTGACCACCCGATCCCGTTAATCCCGTTACAAGCATGGGTTGCAGAAGACCAACTCTAACCTGTGACCTCACGTATAAATTTAGAAAAAAAGTACATTGGATCGTGTGTTTAGTATGTTTCTTTGGTGTCATTGCATCGTTAGCCATCTATTCTTTACTATCGGAAATAGCCAAGGGCTCATAGAGAATACTACATTGTCAGTTCCTGAGGATTTGTTTACTTGAAATGAGATGCCATCGAAGTCAATCGCACACATCGCGTTAAATCTGGTTTATTGCCCCTGAACAAGATACACCATAGACTTTATAGGAGAGCCTCCTTACAGTGAAAGAAGAAGCGCATTATTTAAAATTAACTATGGCATGTCTAAGATAATTTTCTATGGCAGTGTTTTACACACCCAATAATCTTCCATCCATTGATGTGCCTTGCTTATGCTTCTTCTCAGTGGAATATGCGTACACTCCGACTGCCGCTACAACCAAACCAGCCCAGTTACTGATGCCGACATTCCTTTGAGCAAACACACACAGCAGCACCACGATAAACGCTCGCTTCATGATGTTGACGACGGCGTGAGTGATAACAGACACCGCCTTCAGCACCATCGCCACTGACAGGTAGGTATAGCCTACGTGCGCGATGGCCGACAATACTACATATGATAATGCTAAGACGTGTTTAGAATCAGCAAATTGGAATAATGTCAAAAGAGAAACTAAAGAAGCAAATATTAAACTGAGTATGTTATATTTGGATCTGGGCGTCAGCAGTTGATCATTTTCGAAAAGTTTCTTCATTGCAATGTTTCTGAAGACCAGTGCGATATTAGAAACAAGAGCCCAGATTAAACCTCGGGACAAAATGGCGTCTTGGAATGGATTCCCTGTGAAGACGATGGCTCCAGTGACGATTATAGGGAGACTAATAACATTCCCCGTTGAGAGAGGGACGGCAAACACTATCCACTGGATAACGGCGCTTGTGATTGGTTGCAACATTTTGATTGCAAATGTCGACGAAGCGTTGATAAGTGACATGCTGTAATCGGTCGATACCGTTCCTATCACATGACCAGCTAATGTGATGACCTTGTTCCTGAAATTGTCGCCGGAATGAATCCCAGTCGGGTTCGCGAATGTCAGACACAGGAAAAAGAAGAGGAGCTGCGTGTATGACACAACAATGACGTTCAGAAGTTCAGAGCCGTTCAAGGAGAAGTAACTCTTCGCAAGCTGATGACATAGAAATGACGTCAGTGTCCAGGACAGGAAAACGACGACCACACGAACCAGATGTAACTTCTGAAACACAGTGCATGTTCTAGGTAACAAAATAGACATCGTAATATAGACATGGTCTACGTAATAAAATAGACATCGTAATATAGACATGGTCTACGTAACAAAATAGACATCGTAATATAGACATGGTCTACGTAACAAAATAGACATCGTAATATAGACATGGTCTACGTAACAAAATAGACATCGTAATATAGACACGGTCTACGTAACAAAATAGACATCGTAATATAGACTACTGCCTGTCTATATGTATAATTATCAGGAATATAGTTACATATTATTAGAATATTTTCTTATTGCGAGTAAAGGAAACCCGACCTCTTAGTTGATTTTATAATGTGTTTGATTTTCAACTGAAAATATCTTTAGTCACCAATATTATATCCAAACAATGAACTGTACTGGTGCTTTGTCAGCACTGAAAGAGTAGTTTTACATGGTTTTATTGTTTTAAATATTATTTGATATAAAACTTTTAGAAGTTAAAACATAATACTCAACTGCTGATTGGTAGACATCTTTGAAAATCAATAAACTGTTGTGATGGTTAAATAGACATAATTAAATTTAACAAGTTTATTTCAATTTACAATCACATGAAAAAATTCGTTTTACTTTCATTTGCATCTCAGTTTATTATGAGAGCATTATATATATACTGAGTCAAATTAAAAACTTCACATTTTTAAAAGTAATCCCATATATGATATACAACGGACAAATGTATCAGAGAAGGTAATTTTTAATCATTAATGTCCAAAGAAGGATTTTAATTAACGGTGGTAACCATAATTTGTTAGTCCCAAGCACGAGAATCTGATGGCACACAAGTTCAGTAGCGTGTATGGCCACCATGTGCGTTGACAACTGCCACACAACGCCTCCGCATGGACCTTGTGATGCTTGTGAACACATGATTGGGAAGACGACGCCATTGTTGCTGCAAAATGGTGCCAAGATCTTGCAAATTCTGTGGTTCGTTCTGGAGAGTGCGCAGACTTATGCCAAGAGCATCCCAGACGTGTTCGATGGGATTGAGGTTGGGAGACCTTGACGGCCAGTCCATGACGTTGACTCCCGCATTCTGAAGGAAATTCCTTGTCAAAATTGCTGTGTGGGGTCTGGCATTGTCGTCTTGGAAGATCAAACCAGGCCCATATGCTGCCATAAAAGGCAGAAGTTCTGGTGCCAGTACCTGGTCGCGGTAAGCAGCAGCGTTGAGGTTGCCACGGATGACAAGAAGCCTGGAACGTGCATTGCCACAGAAAGCACTCCACACCATGACACTTCCGCCTCGAAATCTGTCAACTTCCTGTACACAACACTGGGCGTAACGTTCATGACGGCGCCTCCACACCCTCGCCCTACCATCCGCAAATCGAAGATTAATTCGTCACTGAAGACGACTTGATTCCAATTCCAATTCTTGAGTCCATCGTAAGTGTCGCTGTTCCCACAATTGACGTTGACGTCTGTGTAATTGAGTCAGAATCGGCCCGCAGTATGGCCGTCGTACTTGAAGGTGAGCAGTTCTCAGACGGTTTCGAACAGTTTGCGCACTCAGTCTACCCCTAAACAGTTCATTTCTGGTTGATGTAGCCGTCAAAAATCGGTTACAGAGGTGACGTAAGACAATCTGACGATCCTCTGTATGTGACGATACACGTGGTCAACCTGGCCGAGGGCGATCAGCGGTGGTACCCGTTTGCTGTAGACGCGTCTGTAAATCATAAACAGTCCGTCGACTACAACACATCGTCCTTGCGACCTCCACTACGGACGTTCCTGTCTGCAACATGCCGATGGCACGTTCACGTTGTACATTTGAAAGGCGTGGCATGACAAATGGCCGTAAAGACTTTTGTTTTCTTGTGTTTTTCTTGTTTTCGTTCATGACAAGTATGGCTGAAAACACGTGCGGTATTATGGCCACGTGACCAGTTGCACGTGAAAAACACTTTTGCCACAATAGTGCTGTGCACATGATTTTGATCGATTCACCTGCACAAAAACGGGTGTTATCTGAAGACAATACATGGCCATTACTGTTTAAATACACAATAAGGGCCCACAATGATAACTGGTTAAAATGTTAACATTTTAGGAGTGTGAAGTTTTTAATTTGGTTCAGTATATATGTGACATTAGTGAAACCAGCTCATCTTTGGACTTTTGTGTGTGTGTGTGTGTGTGTGTGTGTATTATTATATTTTTATATATATATATATATTATATATATATATATATATATATATATATATATATATATATATATATATATATATATATTAATTATTCATCCAAAACTGGCTTCAACAAGAGATATCACTTGCGTGAGATCAAGCAAGATACCAAGACGTCACAATCAAATGACATCACTAATGCCTCTGCCACTGGAGCTTGATAGCTCACTCAAGACATTGCTTATTACTTATTACAAACTAAAAAATTGAAATAAGGTGTTAGATGATAAATAGAATCCCGCCCTCATGACTTCTGATATATAATATGTCAGCACTCGTTGAAAAATACTTGAAAAAAAAACATCCTCAGATTTTACAAAACACCTGTTCAGAATCCATACTGGATTTCCTAAACATGAAGTGTTGTGAAAAGGTGGGTTTTTCGACTCACAACCACGCGACACCCCCCACACACCGACACCTTCCAAGCGAATGTTTAATGGCCCGTCACTCAGACATGAAGACTTTTGATGAATACTGATATATACCGGGCAACTCCGTTAGTTTACAAATGCACACAGTATGGTCAAATGTACAATTTACTATAGCCTGTGTTTCCAATGTACTATGTTATCGCGTGTTAAGTTTTGAATTTAGCAAGGCGATAAATCTTAAGTATAGAAAATTTCGTCTTCGAGTTTCAACTAACCTTTGGCGCGTTTTCCACTCTCGTCTCCATGATGGGGAGGACTCCGTTTCTAAGATGAATCTTTCACGTCTGTAGAAACCGTGTTCATTGAGAAATGAAACTCTTTGTCGAATTCTGGTAAATGACCGTTTCTCAACCAGCACAGCTTAAAGGTTATTTAATTTTCCTTCCCACAGACATGCGTCTTCTGTTGCACTTGGCGATCTCTGACACTGTGTCCAAGGGATATGTGCAATACCTCCACACAGGTTAGACCATGTCTGAATCATGTAAATTATAAATCACCATCTGGCATGCATTAAATACGCACAAGGTCAGAGTTTATCAGCTTTCCATTGATTGAGGCGGGGGTCACGATGAGAAGCCTTTGAAGCCACGCAGGGAGGTGCACAGGTGCTCTACCCATCTGATGACGCAAATCGCAATCGGCGGCATGTGAATAATATAATCTGGATCAGGAAAGTCTGTGACATGACTGATTGCTGTTCATGGTGCCCTGATTGGCGTCCTCCCATTTGTTAGACAGCCAGTTTTAAGACATCTTAAAACAACCACATTCCCAGATGGAGGGATAGCTAACTAGCCACTTGTTTCCTAAGATAGGTCATGGATCCACCTTCTGTTTGAGCACTTCGGCTGATCTGTACCTCTTTGGTAGGGAAATGGAACCACCCAGGTAGAGAATAACATAACGCCATATTAGTCTGTATCTTATTTATTGTGATCTCTTTTCTGTACTCCGAGAATAAATAGAGATTATGAGTTCCTCTCGGTGACGTAAATTATTCTACTTTGCCTAACCAAGCCATGCTGATACTATCAACGTTGTTGCCGCTTTACGTGTTTAAGAGGACGCCTTGTGTCTGAGCACTTTGCCTGACCTGTCCCTCTTCAGGACTCGTGTGTGTCAGTACAGGTACATCTATCTATTGGGAGTTTTAGTATTGATAAAATTTCGGTTTTGTATTGATAAGATTTCTATTTTCGCATTGATATGATTTGATTTTTGATATTTAGTAACTGATAAAAGGTCTTTGGCCCCGCTGTATATATACGTTCGAGTAGCCACCTTTCATAATCAGTTCATTTGACCTTCGCATTTGACCTTCGCTATTGCATCTCTTGGCTTTATGAGATCTAAATGAGATAGCGGATCTAACTGCAATTCTTGTTTTAATCGTTCCCCGGCTGGGGCATGGTCTTTACATTTCAGTAACAAGTGAGCAATGTATTTAGGTTTATTTTAAGATGCGCATACCTTGTCGTATTGCTTTTTGTGACCTAGCCTGTCGCGTGAGATGGCTCCTTCAACCTTTTGAGTCAAACATCTGTATCATCAATGTGGTTGTGTCATCATTGTATACCTACCTGCTGGGTGTTTCTGTAAGTGGCATTAAGATGTTGGTCTGACAAGGGAGATAGTTCTATGCATATACAACATCCCTGTCACAGTGACTGCGAGGTTTCGGTGTAGATACTAACACCGTTATCAAGCAAGTATTAACAAAACATCGCATTCATTGTAATACAAAAAGTTGTAGATCCATAGAACTATCGCCCCTGTTCAATAGGATGCTCTGAGGAACCAAAATAAGTTTATTGTTTGACTATTAGAAAAAGTAAATAAGTTGCTGACAAAGTGTACTTAGAACAAACATAAAATGAGAAGGTTTAACGAACATTCTTCAAACAAGCAAAAATATATTGACATGAAAAGAGCTACATAAGTTTTGTAGTAGGTCCGCATCAATTTCTAGCTAGCTCTCCTTTCACAACAGCAATCCAATTAGAACTGTCCCAATATAGCTTTTTGTTGTTGTACCTAACCTTCTTAGGGTCTGACAACTGATGGCCTCAGACAACCATTACTCCCATCTCCTCCTTAGTTTTACCGTGAACCGAAAGGAAAATAGGAGAATAAAGTGCCCTGTTTAAATGGGCTGGTCAGTTTGCACCGTTTTTTAGAGTGACTTGTGATTGCTTAAATGAAAGATAGGACATTGTACTTTGTTGCAAATGTTTTGTTAGCAACAATCCGTGCCAGGTATTGATTCCAAGTTGAAGGCCGCTGTGTACATCCAGAGAGCATTGTTGACAGTTGTAACGGTGAAATCTACCTGGTGGATCCAGACCGATACTTGGCGGGTTTTAGTGACAAGTGGCAGCTTGGTCAGCGTGCAAAAGGAGAACAGCCTACGGCCTATATTAATTATGATGGGCTGTCATGTCACTGTAGATAGCAAAGAAGGAAAATAATTGTGATCTGAGGCCAACTAACACATGGGAGATCCCCGATTGCCTGTATCGTTGCTGTTGCTTGACTGGCTCAGTTACATGGCTGATTGTGGGTCATGGACGGCATGATCGGATGATATAAAAGAGTTGGTAAAATTTTAATTAACATCACGAAGTGTAATATACCCTATGGAGCCGTAATAGAAACGATACACTGTGTTCGGAAAATCAATTGTCTCGTGATTAAAACAAAAACAGTTATCTCGTCGGCTGTTCTTCAGGTGAGGTGAGGAGAAATGGGGTTTAACGTCGCGTCCAAGATTATTGCACTTATATAGCGACGTGCATGTACGTGTGTGTGTTAGTGTGGCTGCTTGTACTAGTCCGGACTGATGCCGATTTATAGTGCTAGCTCACTGAGATACCATGCCGCAGTTTAACATGAATACCCCACTCAGACACAGTATACTGACTCCGAGCCGACCAGTCCTTGTTTTAGCCCCTTAATGCCGAGGGCCAGACAGGGTAACAATGTTCTTCAGCATCCGTCCATAATGTATGTGAGTGATATTGTTTTACGCCGCTTTTAGCAATATTCCAGCAATATCACGAAGGGGGGACACCAGTATGTAACAGATATTAACCCAGTATCTTTAATACGGTTCATTACACTATTTGTAATAGTCTGTAGAAACATGGGGGGTTATATATAATAGAATAGGAAATTCTTGCATTTCTAATTTTGTCTACAATTGCCTGTGACAGTTCAGCTTTGGTATGTGTGTATTACACCGTTCCGTTATGTCGTTAGTCGTTCAGTTTAATGTTTAACGAAACCCAAACATTCATAAAATGTGTTAGTAAGTTTGTCACAATAATGAAAGGTAGACCCCCACACTATCCAGTGTGGCCGGAGGCTGTGTAGGCAGGTCGGCTATTTGTGATCATCAGAAGACCACGTGACACAAATTGGACAGTTACTGATTTGCTGTGCCACCGGCTGATGGGGGACCTTTGTTAAAGGTTGGGGCAGTTTCGCAGCTAATCAGCTAAGAAATCCCTATATAAACAGTGCCGTTAGTGAAGACGGCGAAAAGCGCATAATGTCGGAAAGCGCACGTTAAATCTCCACCAGTAAGTTGGTTGGTTGGTTTGTTGTTTTACGGCGCACTCAGCAATATTCCAGCTATATGACGGCGGTCTGTAAATAATCGAGTCTGGACAAGACAATCCAGTGATTGATATCATGAGCATCGATCCACGCAATTGGGATCTATGTCATGCTCCAACCAAGTCAGCGAGCCTGACCACCCGATCCTGTTAGTCGCCTCCTACGACAAGCATAGTCGCCTTTTACGGCAAGCATGGGTTGCTGAAGACCTATTCTAGCCCGGATCTTCACGGGTCCAACAGTTAGTAAGTAAGTAAGAAAGAAGTCGACAGAGAGGGACAGCAGGGCGCTGGTCCAGAAGGGTCCAGAAGACATGGCATACAAAACACACCTGGTAACGCCTGAAACAGCCCGTGGCCTCGCTCACAACCTCACAAACTCCTTTAGTTCCCCCACCTTATTAGCATGGCATATTTCAAAATTCCAAATTTCCGCCAAAATTAATTAAGCGACCATAAAGCCCCTCGAGGTTGTCTTACCTTTCGGACATATCCTTCTCGACCACATCACTAGATGGCGTGTCGGGCCCGTGCGCGAATTACGCATACGTCGGAAAGCGCACGTTAAAACCCAAACTAAGTAAGTGAACTCATCCCAAATACGATCCCGTTAGTCGCCTCTTAGGACAAGCAGGGGTTGCTGAAGACCAATAATTATTCCGACCCGGATCTTCACGGGGACATCTTTCTAAATGTATAATGGACCTGTCTGTTTCTTCATGTATTAGGAGGGAAACACAGTTTCCTACTTAAAGGACTACAGAATGTTTTTGGCGATCTCTCCCATTTCAAAAGAAATAACGAGGCGCAGTGGGTGTCGCCTGGAAGCGATTGGCAGTTTCAAGTTGTACTTGAATTTTACATCGACGATTGTCCCGATGTTACCTTGTCAGCTTAGCAATGATTACGTTACTGGGGTTGGTTGGTTGGTTGGTTGGTTGGTTGGTGTTTTGTTTTGAACATGTTTTGACCCCAAATTAAACTGAGGGTCACTAATAGCCTAATTGCTGACTGGCAGTGTTGCCGGTTGATTAAGCTGGATGCTTGTTTTGACCACGTGACACAAATTGGACAGTTACTGATTTGCAGTGCCACCGGCTGATGGGGGACCTTTGTTAAAGGTTGGGGCAGTTTCGCAGCTAATCAGCTAAGAAACCCCTATATAAACAGTGCCGTTAGTGAAGACGGCGAAAAGCGCATAACGTCGGAAAGCGCACGTTTAATCTCCACCAGTAAGTTGGTTGTTTTGTTGTTTTACGCCGCACTCAGCAATATTCCAGCTATATGACGGCGGTCTGTAAATAATCAAGTCTGGACCAGACAATCCAGTGATTGACATCATGAGCATCGATCCACGCAATTGGGATCGATGACATGTATCAACCAAGTCAGCGAGCCTGACCACCCGATCCCGTTAGTCACCTTTTACGACAAGCATAGTCCCCTTTTACGGCAGGCGTGGGTTGCTGAAGACTTATTCTACCCCGGAATCTTCACGGGTCACGTTACTGGGGAGTTTACGGGTTATGATCAACGTCGAAATGTGGATGTGTATTCAGGTACAGTAATCCAGCACTCACCGTTTATTTGCATACATGTGTGTAGTATACATTTAAAGGAGAATTTAGAAAGTAACACGGACTTTAAAATATCCTCAAATAAACAACTGGTCAAAAGTGCAAACACAAGTTTGACAAACAGCGTCATATCGATCACACACACACTTGTCAGGCACAATTAAGCACACTACAATATCGAAAATAACGTTCACGTAATATATGAATCTATTTGTCTAAACCCTTTCCATATTCATAAGAAATCGCTGTTAAAATCCCATTCCATTGTACGATTCCGACAATATCATGAGCATGTGTTCATGAATCAGTATCAAACAGTGATGATACCAGGTGTTTTCGTGAAGGTGAACATATCCTGCCCCACCGCTGGCGCCCATCACAAACACAAGGTACGCGAGTTAAAATAGGGAATTAAATCGAACATCATTTGTGTTACTGAGGCGTCAAATTTGGAAACGTTCTCCATATGTCTACCATAAAATATTTTGAAAGCTTTACTGTACTGAGGCGTTGAATGTTTCAACCTTGATCAAACAACTTCTGAACAGGGTTCGTATGACAAAGTAGACACAATTTATTGATAACAACTTCTCTATTTTACTGTAAAGGCCACGTTTCTGTACGTTTCCTTATACCGTCATCAAGCAAAGGATCTATACCGAAAGGTCGCCTTTACAGTAAAATAAAGAAGTTGTTATCAATCAATTGTGTCTACTTTGTCATCCGTCAACTTCTAAGTAATGATCAAACAATTCACGAGTCGTTTGCGTTGTGAAATGGAGACACAAAAGGCTGGAGCTGCCTGAATGTTGCTTGGCATGATGGGGAAGTTCAGAGTTGACAAATGACAATTTGTAGCATGAGTTTGTGTATTACATCCTGTACAGATGCTGCCGTTAGCATAGACCTCATCTCTGTCAACCATTTGTTCATACCCAATGTCAGGAGGCTACATGGGAACGGCCCTGCTGAAAGGGCGAAGGAGGTCACACATGATGTGAATGTTCCACCGATGCTGGTCACGCTTCTGCCGATACACTTGGAGTTCCACCCCTGGACCTGTTGTCAATGGTGCCACTCCCCTTCCACCAGTAGGATGGTACCGAGCGGCGAGAATCAGGTGACCCAGAGGTCATGGACGGTAACAACGTCATGGACTTTGACGGACTGTGCACGTCTACACCCCCTTGTAGTCTCTGTATTGCCATGTCCCAATCTCTGGAAGATGAACAAAAGCAGTTTATTCAAGTGTTGTGCTATTATTCACAAGCTGAACTGAGAAACCTCAACGTGATTTAGTATATCACACATAACACGATCGTAAACTAAAGTGAGTGAATGTTGTTTTACGCCACAGTTGGTATGTTCCAGCTATAAATGACGGCGGCCAGTAACGACTACATATGAGCCGGATATTCCAATGTTTGACTCAAAGTGAGTGAGTGAGTGAGTATGGTTTTACGCCGCTTTTAGCAATATTCCAGCAATATCACGGCGGGGGACACCAGAAATGGGCTTCACACATTGTACCCATGTCGGGAATCGAACCCAGGTCCTCTGCGTGACGAGCGAACGCTTTAACCACTAGGCTACCCGACCGCCCCGTTTGACTCAAAGGCAGGGTGACACATATAATATTAGCCAGGTCACATTATGTCACCAACCGGTCCTCATCAAATCGGCCTTTACGGCAAGCAGCGGCAATCTCACAGACTCCTAACAGGGGTCGATTTGTTACAGGCAGGACTTAATACCGTGGACGTACTACTAAAACCTATTACCACAGCAGAGTCCGTGTTAAATCTGGTCCCCCAGCAACCTATGCTGGTCATAAGAGATGACCAAATTGATCGGGAGGTTAGGCTTGCATAATATCGATCACTGGATTGTCTGGTCCTGACTCGATTAATTTCAGGCAGCCGTTATTTAGCTGGGAGATTGCTGAGTGCTGCGTTAAAACAACAAAGTAAGATAGAAACCAACAAACACAACGGCGATCTTCACGGGGTTTTCAGGAAACGGGAGTTGTTTACTGAGTGTATAATAAATAAAAAATGTTTTATAATCAAGTCTCACCTTATTAAGAATCGCCTGTTGCCATTTGAATGAACGAACTGGTTCAAAAGCGCCTGGGTTATCTTGTTTCGTATTTGCGGGGATTTCTGTGCAAACAGAGAAAAACCATCACGTAAAAGATACAGTTAAAGACCATATTTTTTTCAATGGATTATTAATAATACCAATATGTTTAAAGCAAGATTAATACCCAAATTAAGGAAATCCATGGTTAGATGAATGCAAATACGCTTGTCGTTTCTATAATTTCTGACGTCAATCCTCTTACCAACAAACGTTGAATGACGTCACTCGCTGAGATGATGACGTTATCTTCTGTGACGTCAGAGAAAATACTGGCGACGTCAAGTTGTAACTCACGAATCAGATGAAGCAGGGATTGAATGTAGCTGGATAAGACATCCCATGACCTTCCTCGACGAGATGGTTCGAGATGGTAAACAACCTTGACCTTGTCGTCCTTCATGAGGTCAGTAGCTTCGGATTCAAAACTGTGGCTAACGTAAACGCCCTGTGGAAGTTTAAATAGTCATTGAAAAGTATATTCCGTCAAACAAAAGTTTTCAAGCTGCATTCAATTGCACCCTGTATCAACAGCTCAGCATGATCAATACTATCTACGAACAAATCAACACATTTTGATCACCTCATATGAATATATCATTTTCTCGGAAAAGGACAAAACATATGAAGAAAAATAAATACATATTTTTGGATGAATTTCTCCATCTTTCTACTGTCCCCCATAATTAACATCATCATTACTGACATTTTTTTGGGAGTTAATGTAATGCACATATTGAGCGCTGGGGTAGCCTGGTGGTAGAAACGTTCACACCGAAGGCCCGGGTTCCATTGCCCAAACTAGTAGAAAATGAAGCCTATTTCTCGTGTCCTCCGCCGTGTTGTTCTTGGTGCATTCAAATGCATTCTGTATCAACAGCTTATCACGATCAATAACATTGACGAACAAATCAACACATTTTGACCACAGCAAATACATATATCATGTTCTCCTTCTATTTTGCGCCAGAGTAAGTAAATATCTTCTACGAATGATACATGAATTAACAGAACCGATATTCATGAACAGTGTGTGTGTGTGTGTGTGTGTGTGTGTGTGTGTGTGTGTGTGTGTGTGTGTGAGGGTGGGTGGGTGGGTGGGTTTAACAGCATTCCAGTCATAACATACATATTTCTATGTTTTTGAACACGCGTTCCTTCTGTTGGCTGTTGGTAGGCCTGATGTAGGACAATGAAACACTAAAGTCGTTTTGATGTTTTCAGATCCATCATGAAAGGGATTAACTTAATCTCAATCTCAATCAGTCATTGTGGACAATAGCCAATCAAAATAGCGTTGGTTTGAGGATTCGTGTAGACACCTTCTGGTAATAAATAATTATTTTTATTAATTAAAGTCAGCTCACCTCAAAGTCAACAACCATTCCCTCGCTGTTGTCCCTTCCCCCCACGGCTTCCAAGATGGCCTCTGCTCCTTCAGGGGTTAAAGGATTAAATCCGACCTGTTAAAATGAAACATGACAGATGAAAGAACAGTGTTATCTCAACCAATGGAGCATTTTTTTTACATGTCATCAGGATGCCTCCGGGGTGTAGTGGGTAGAGCGTAAGCCCGGTGGGGAGAAGGTCGGGGGTTCGATCCTCGGACGCGTCAAACCAAAAGACGTTAAATGATGGTTTGTGTTGTTACCCTGCCTGGTGCTCGGCATTAAGGGGCTAAAACAAGGACTGGTCGACTCATTGTCTGAGCGGGATATCCATGTAAAACTGAGGCATGGTATCTCTGCGGGCTGGCATTATTTTACCGGCATATGTCTGGACTAGTACCAGGAGCCACACATTCATGTCACTACATAAGTGCAATAATCTTGAATGCGACGTTAAACCCTATCTCACCTCACCGCATGTTAGCAAAATGACATAACCTTGATTGTGACTATTCAGTCAATTATGAGCGCCCCCACTTGTGTGTATAAGAATACAGGAAGTTCTTCACAAATGGACATCATGAGTGAACTCCCAAGGGAAACAAATCTTTGCCAGTGGTATTGATTTACGAAAACATGAACTCATCTCAGTGAGGAAAGCCGGCGTAATATTGTAGTTATACTACAGGTTGTGGCGTTAGGCAACTTTCTCATTAACTCTAAGTTAGGAAAGTAGTTTATGATCTTAAACGTTCTTATAAATTATGCTATCATGCTAAATGACGCGATTCAGGATTCCGGCTTTTCTATCGCTTATGTTTCAGAAGCATCGTCAGATATTGGCTAGACTATAACTCGCCCTGTCATGTTTATTGGATGTTTCACGTATCGGTCCCGAAAGTAAACTCCTGGGTGATTTAGGTACCCAGCACTTCATTCCTTGTCCTGAGGGGCAACTAAATGGCAAGACTTGAACTGGTTGTTTCCCCAAACAACTACAGTAAACTACGGTTATAACGAACTCAAAGGGACTACTAATTTTAGTTCGTTATAACCGTAGTTCGTTATAAGCATATAAACAGCATAACTACAGCAAATAGTCGGGACCAAAAAGTAAGTTCGTTATATCCGTCAGTTCGTTATAAGCGTGTTCGTTATAACCGTAGTTTACTGTAGTTATATCACGGTGTGTCAGTTTAATGTGGTAGGAAAGCCAGAATTGACGCAGGTCTTAGACGTTAACCTCTTTGGTAAAATTTAAGACCACTTGTATGGTGCTGACAAACCTAGACAAATAATCAGGGCAAATTTTGGATTCGTGGGATTCGAATCTATTTATCAGAAAACATTATAAAGTATGGAGGCTTAAGATAGTTCCAACCTTCAGACACCTGAGTTCCGTGTTGTAAGCCATGCCTTCAGCTAGTGCCCGGGCCCCAAGCCTAGTGATCCTATTAGCACTGACGTCTAGCTCCCACAGGGTGGTGTTCTCCTCAAGAGCGTCCCCCAGGGCACGGGCACCCTCCACGTGGAACCCATTCATCGACACCCGCAGGACGCGCAGTTGTTGATTGAACTGTATCAGAAACAGGTTGATGCAGTTATAAACATATAGATGCATTAACAAACATACTGATGCAGAAACACACACATTGATGCAGAAACAAACATATGGATGCAGAAACACACATATGGATGCAGAAACAAACATACTGATGCGTTAACAAACGTATTGATGCAAAAACACACATACTGATGCAGACACAAACATATGGATGCAGAAACAAACATACTGATGCATTAACAAACATACTGATGCAGAAACACACACATTGATGCAGAAACAAACATATGGATGCAGAAACAAACATACTGATGCGTTAACAAACGTATTGATGCAAAAACACACATACTGATGCAGACACAAACATATGGATGCAGAAACAAACATACTGATGCATTAACAAACATACTGATGCAAAAACAAACATATTGATGCATTAACAAACATACTGATGCAAAAACAAACATACTGATGCGGAAACACACATACTGTGTCAGCAACAAACAGATTGGTGCAGTAATGAACATATAGATGCGGAAACAAACATACTGATGCAGAAACAAACATATTGATGCAGAAACACACATACTGATGCAGAAACAAACATATGGATGCAGAAACACACATACTGTATCAGCAACAAACAGATTGATGCGGTAAGGAAGTTATAGATGCGGAAACAAACATACTGATGCAGAAACAAACATAGTGATGCAGAAACAAACATATTGATGCTGAAACAACCACTGGGACGCGAAAACAAACATACTTTTTAAAACAAACATACTGATGCAGAAACAAACATATTGATTCAAAACCAAACAAACGGATGCAGAAACAATAATATTGATTCAACCCCCCCCCCCCCCCCCCCCCCCCACACACACACACACACACACACACGCACACACACACACACAGAACTATAATTTGTGTTGTTTCAGTCACTCAGCACATATTATAGTTCAAACAAGAATGACTTGTGGGTCAGTGAGCATTCAGATGTGTGTTACGGCCTTTAAAAAATTGTAACTGTTTTGTTTAATAAAATATGTGCTTCTAACCTGGTCGTGAGAACTTGGGGATTTTCGTAAGTCTAGCTAAATCCACTGCCATTATTAACGGCATTATTGTTACTGAAACAAAATGACGTCTTAGGGATTCCGGATGACAATGCCGACTGGCATGAAGATGCTCATATTATCACGCACTGGTATACCTGACCCTGTCTCGAGTCTCTACAGATCGCTGTGATAAACCGCGTAAATGTACATTTACTTCATTTCACAAAAGGCGATTATTGTGTTCCATTCATACAAATGGCCAATGCGCTACACCACAGCCAATGTTACAAAAACAATTTAAGCTTAATGAATCAAAGACCATGTTTGGTTGTTGCAGACAAAGGCGCCAGCTTGCTTTATTTCTGACCTTGACTGCCTTGGCCAACTTAACAGCTCCTTGTGATCGTATGTGGTTCCAGGAAAGGTCAAGGACATCAAGGCTGACGTTGTTAGCTGGTGATAAACGTGGACAAAATATACATATGTTCTTGAAACACGTTCTATGAGTCTAATTCCACAGGAATAACAACACACGTCATGGGCTAAATAAATTAAATGGTATATTTGTTCATAATGTTTATGTTTAATGTTAATACAATGGAGATTAACAATTGGGATTGGCTTCTTATGAATAACAGCAATTAAGTGATTAAAGGCATAAACATGTCATGGCCTCAATGGTAATTAGCCTTTGGAATGAAATGTTAATTCAGAAAATGGCTATCTCAAATCAGTTATCATGACACTTTGAATGAATGTTAAACATGGTTTAAATAGGTTAGACCTTTTCGGCGCTCCGAGCCTAGGGTTTAACTGACCATTTCAACGATTAAACACCGGATCCGACGTGGTAAACGTCCGAGAACTGCGTCACTTCGGGCTTTCCTCCCACATTAAGCTGACACGCCGTGATATAACTGGAATACTGTTAAAAGCGGCGTTAAACCCAACTCACTCACTCACTCTAAACGCCTTTCTGAAAATGAACGGATGCGTGCACATGGAATTCTTGAAGCCGGAGTTACACAAAACGTTGTTGCTAGGCGTTTCAGATCATGACAGCAAGTTTATCAGATATGCTTCATCAACAACACTACCATTATATGATAAAGAAGGCTACTTACCGATGAATGGGCATAAATAAGATATTCCTCTCTCTCCGACGTCGTTGTGTGACAGGTTTAATTCTTTCAAAAACACGTTTCTCTGTGGAAAAGAAATGAGTCATTAAGAAGGTTGTGCATTATATGTGCAGTTGTTAAAAACCGCGGCAGGTTCACGCTACAAGTATGTTACAAAGGCATGTAGCTGGAAGATCACTCACCGTGTTGACAGTTACGTATTTAAGTATAAGTTATAGTATTGAACCTTTTTTCAGATGTTAACCACATATTGATAAAACGTTTATCTTTTCGAGAACAAAATACTATATATGCTAGTGTGCTAATAATTTACCACAGTTTCCAACGTGCAGCGACATTCAAATGATGACAAAGCTAAAATGTTAAATAGTCATGACGTCGAAAACAATGTTAACAGGTTTCCGATTTTTATTCGATTTTTTTTATAAAGACTTGATATTTTTCAGCTAAAGCTGCGAATCTAGATGTAGTTTTAATTAAAACTATGAGCGTGAATATCTTCAACAATGTATTTTTCGTTGCAGACAATTTCTTTTATTTTCAACAGCCTTAAGATTAATTATTTATTTTCTTGAATATTCTTGAAAAAACTGTTTTTTTCAATAATTTTCCTGATTTTATATTTTATATTTTAAAAAACGTTTTAGCTACAGATAAACATGACAGTGCGGAAATACATTATCCGTGTGAAAAATCGATCTTAGGCGTTAAGTATGGAGTTATGCCTCCTTTTTCTAGGCGTTTGTGCACACTTCCCAGTCGTATATGTAGTCAATGAGCAAAATACATTTAGCCATATATTACAATTATGTTTTGGCAGTGACCGCGTAACGTTATACATAACGGTACATCTGCAATGTATATAAGGCAATACTTTGTTCACAGTTCACTCCAACAAAATAAATAACCCAATACGCCGCACATTACATTTATCTGTGTAAGATAAACAGTGGTTAAATTTTCAGTATAATAAAACAAATGAAAATCTTGGATATATTTTTTTTAAACCTGCCCTATGTTTTAAATTAAGTTTACAACACGAGATGCTACGGAAAATATTCTACATCTGGCACGCCATTCAGTTTGCAGAACCTCAAAGATTGTGCGTCCAGAGTTGAAGCACTCAGGAAGCAACGCAGTTCGAGTTATGGAGAGAACACAAACCGTTACTGCCAGGCAATGTAAACCTGTACTATCGGAGGGCCCGATGAGCACTGGGTATATCAGTCACCCAATCACAATGTTCCACTCCATGCCGTCAGCGAGGATCCGGCATCATTTCAAGGAAAGTAGTGTGACACATTTTATCAGCAAGAATATACTTTAGGATTGCAATTACAAGACGGTTTTGATACTCATTCTTTAAGTCATTTTATCAGCGTGAATAATCTTTAGTTTTTCAATTACAAGATAATTCTGATACTCATTCTTTAACACATTGTATCAGTAAAAATATACTTTAGGATTGCTATTAAAAGACGATTCTGATACTCATTCTTTAACACATTTTATCAGCAAAAATATACTTTAGGATTGCAATTACAAGACGATTCTGATACTGGTTCTTTAACACATTTTATCAGCACGAATATTCTTCAGATTTGCAATTAAAAGATAATTCTGATACTCATTCTTTAACACCTTTTGTCAGCCAGAATATACTTTGGATTTTCAATTACAAGACAATTCTGATATCCATTCTTTAACACATTTTATCAACAAGAATAAATCGTACTTTAGATTTTCAATTTTAAAATGATTCTGATACTCATTCGTTCATTCTGCTTATATGGAAATGGTTTTGTCCCTTTTATTTGTAAGTTTCTTCTGTTTCGTCGCCATACATACCTCCAGACCGCTGACAATGAGTCGGACCCCTTTGTCTCCGATCGCATTACCTGTTGCATGAATAATAGCATAATTATTACAGGATACTTAGACTATACTAAGCTGTAGTAAGTTCTACAATATCAGTAGAACAAACAGGCTCCAGTACAATATGTTGTTATCAATGGATTTAAACAAAGCAAATGCGTAAGATTACATACTAATTCTGCCCTATTATATTGAATGAAAACTCGACAAGATAAAATTATGTAAGCCCCGCTAACGAACCTCGACGTTAAGGAACTGCATCGTCGCTCAGGAATTAATTGTCGGAAATTACTGAACGTCTTCGAGTCGTATTTACAGGCAGGAAGACCTGGGTGAGATGTAACCAAAATACTTCACGCTGGAAATCCTATTCTATATCCGACCCAAGTTTCTATCTACACATATCTTGATAACACTTGATAACGCTAACTAACAATACATACCACTCAAGAGAAGTACATTGTATATTTTAAACCAGCTTAAAAAAACCCATGGATACCCCACTCAGACACAGTACATATTCTCTCCGGGTCCGAGTCGACTAGTCCCTGTGTAATCCCATTATTGCTGACCTCCAGACGGGGTAACAACAAGTACCATCTTTCAACGTCTTTGATATGACGCTGACAGGGATCGAAACCCCGACCTTCCGTACTCCGGGCAGACGCTCCATCCACTAGACCACGGAGGCGGTCTGTTTGAGTTTCATACAGGTAACCCATGACAACGTCCAGCCCTAGACCAACAATTGTCTCAAGATCGTGGTACATGGTCCTCCTTTAAGTGTCATATAACCTGTACGATATTCATTTACGTACAACATACCTGCAAGGTTTAAGGAGTGTAAACGTGACTGGCCTTTCAGCACTAAACGCAGAATACGGGTTCCCGCTGTCCCGACTCTGTTTTCCGACAAATTCTGAAACGAACAGGTGACGAACCGAAGTGAGTGAGTGAGTTTTGTTGAACAATGTTTTGAAGAGCATTTAGGTTAAATATCGGCGTGTCAACTTTATGCGGGATGAAAGCCCAAAGTGATGCAGGTCTTCGATGTTTACCACGATACAATCTAAGAGCACGGGTGTGGTGCTGAAATCCTTTAAAACAAGTTAGGGCGAATCTCGGATTCGAAACCACGATTAACCCTTTCTGACTCGTCTAAGGGACTCTGGACAACGACATGCGGCGCAAGAGACTACTGGGACACCTGTAACCCTGACTGTGATTACCAGAATAATTTCAATATACAACGAGTGAGTGAGTGAGTTGGGTTTAACGCCGCTTTTAACATTATTCCAGTTATATCACGGCGTGTCAGCTTGATGTTTGAGGAAAGCCCGAAGTGATGCAGGTCTCGGACGTTTCCCACTTTGGTGAAACCCACGAGCACGGGTATGGTGCTGACAAACCTAGAAACATAATCGGGGCGAACCGGGATTCGAACCCACAATCATAGGTTTCTGGTGTGTCCAGGGGACGCAACTCTGCACAGCGAATCCCGACGCCGTAGACGACTTCGCCACCCGTGCCCCCCAATACACAACGATGTGTTGGATACGATCTACTTACCATATCAGTTATTGTCGTGTTATTGTGCAGCATTTGAGCAAGCCATAACATCTGGGGAGGCCCTAGTCCATTGTCAGTAAAGTCTAGCTTTGATATAGTGGCGTCATTCTGAAAATACATGTAAAATATTAAGCCACGAGGTTATGTTGCTCACGTGGTATGGGTGAGTGAGTGAGTGAGTGAGTGAGTGAGTGAGTGAGTTTGGTTTAACGCCGCTTTTAACAGTATTCCAATTATATCGCGGTGTGTCAGCTTAATGTGGGAGGAGGTGTTACAGGTCTCAGACGTTTACCACTTCGGTGAAACCCACGAGCACTGGTATGGTGCTTACAAACCTAGAACCATAATCGGTGCGAACCGGGATTCGAACCCACAATCATAGGTTTCTGGCGTGCCCAAGGTGCGCAACTCTGCACAGCGCATCGCAGCGCCTTGGACGACTGGGACATCCGTGCCCCCTTCTCGTGGTATGGAATGATTTCACGCCGCTTTATCAATATTTAAGCGACATCTTGATGGGGACACCAGAGATGGGCTTCACACACTGTACCCATGTGGGTAATCGAACCTACGCGTGACGAGCGAACAAGCCTACATCGTGTACGTACCGTACTGTTTCTAACAGACGCTCGCGGTGTGTATCTTTTCGGACATGACCTTGACCCGGTGTTCATCGAAGATCCGCCTCTATTTCGTCACGGCCATATCCGTTCGCAGACGTTTAAAAATAAGCCTGGCATAAATCAGAGGCCTCATGTCCATACGCACAGATATCTCTTCCCAATATGTTTCGTCAACCGTGACATGTGAGAAACAATGGGTTACAAGCAGACACCATGGGAGAAACGTAACATCAGTGCATTCATCTAAACATTGGAAAACCGCGAAAAGGTTCAGGCCCTTGGAAGCAGGTGGTCGAGAGAGGCCCGACCCCCACGTTTGCACACCAACATATTTTTTATCAACATATTTCACATAGAAATTTCACCCCCTAGATCAAGTAGATCCTATATCAGGAGCAGTCAATGTACTGACATATTCCCACCATTAAATCAAGCAGATCCTATACCGGAGGCATTCAATGTACTGACATATTCCCACACCTAAATCAAGATCCGCCATTCAATGTACTGACATATCTCCATCCCCTAGATCAAGCAGATCCTATACCGGAGGCATTCAATGTACTGACATATTCCCACCCCTAAATCAAGTAGATCCTATACAAGAGACAGTCAATGTACTGACATATCTCCATCCCCTAAATCAAGCAGATCCTATACCGGAGGCATTCAATGTACTGACATATTCCCACCCCTAGATCAAGCAGATCCTATACCGGAGGCATTCAATGTACTGACATATTCCCACCCCTAGATCAAGCAGATCCTATACCGGAGGCATTCAATGTACTGACATATTCCCACCCCTAAATCAAGCAGATCCTATACCGGAGGCATTCAATGTACTGACATATTCCCACCCCTAGATCAAGCAGATCCTATACCGGAGGCATTCAATGTACTGACATATTCCCACCCCTAAATCAAGCAGATCCTATACCGGAGGCATTCAATGTACTGACATATTCCCACCCCTAGATCAAGCAGATCCTATACCGGAGGCATTCAATGTACTGACATATTCCCACCCCTAAATCAAGCAGATCCTATACAAGAGACAGTCAATGTACTGACATATCTTCATTCCCTAGATCAAGCAGATGCTACACAAGTGACAAGTCACTCCAATGACAGGATCTCCACCATTAGATCACACAGTCCCTATACCAGCCGCCGTCACTCTACTGACATATGTTCAACACCTTCCCTCCCTAAGAACATCAGTGTTAAACTTTATATTTTAGGTTACTCAAAAGTTTAAGTCATAAGAATCGAGGAGGAATGGTGTGATATGAATAAAATAACAATATGAAAAGCGAAAAACACTGAACATAGACGTTTAAACGTTTAGGGATATGCACTACTCAAATGAAGTTAAGGGACGCTCATTTATTCATATGACTATAAGTGGCGGTCGGGTAGCCTAGTGGTTAAAGCGTTCGCTCGTCACGCCGAAGACCCGGGTTCGATTCCCGACATGGGTACAATGTGTGAAGCCCATTTCTGGTGTCCCCCACCGTGATATTGCTAGAATATTGCTAAAAGCGGCGTAAAACCATACTCACTCACTCATATGACTATAGCTAATCTATCATGGCTGGTGGGTATTGCAAAACACGGCCGTCCCTCTGTGGGTGTTTTGAGTAATATAACGTGTCACGCTACACAGCGCTTGTTAGTCCCATAACAGGGCAATACGTTTCGCAGAAGTTCTGCCTAGTGTTTGCGTAGTTACGCGGGAATGCCACAAAACCTCTGCGTAGTCCCTGGCTGGCTACGCAGGAATTTTAGGGGCACTTGAGAAATAACATAAACATTTGTGCGTTGTATTAAACTCGTGGACAATTATTTTGTTAAAAGCCCGAATACTTGCCTTTATTTCCTTTGATAATGCCTTTGTGTCCTTTACACCAGGGTAACGAAATCTCATTGCAAAGTCGTCCTCCAACGCATGTCGTATGAAATAACTGTTCGGTACTGCTTGCAGCGACCGACACATTTGTTTGTAATCCGGAAAGGGGCTGTCTTCCCTTCTCTGCCGTGCTCTCTCAACAGACACAAGGTCAGAACCTGGAGGGAACAGCATAACTGATCAATGACAACACACCTAACAATTGGTACTTTGGGAGCATTGATGGCTAAATGGTGTACATTCATCGCCTGTACTTTGACTGCTCACGAATATCAACACACACACGCACGCACGCACGCACACACGCACGCACGCACGCACGCACGCACGCACGCACTGAAATGACAAACACTAACAGCTCATTCATACGGACATTGCGTCAATTTTAAGGATAACTGATCAATGACAACACACCTAACAATTGGTACATGGGAGCATTGATGGTTCAATGGTGAACATACATCGCCTGTACTTTGACTGCTCACGAAAGTTACATACATACACGCACGCACGCACGCACGCACGCACGCACGCACGCACGCACGCACGCATCGGGAGGACCCTCAACTGTCACCAGTCAGGTAAATTGTTGATAAAATACATGATATGATTATGGATGACCGACAACTCATCACACGCCACACAGCCAATACATAAACAGCCACTAGTACATTAATCTGCTTGGGCAACTGCGTGAGACTATCAAAACAAAGACAGACAAGTCTGTTGTCGCCATGGCAGCAATGGATAACTGTCGTTTTGAACTCATTGACCATCCTCGTAGTCACCATATTTGACACCGTCAGATTTCCACCTCTTCCCAACTTTGAATTAAGGCTCCAGGCTCTCCAGCTTCGTTGGCAGAAGTGTGTAGTCCTCGGAGGGGATTACGGTGGAAAGTATACCCCTTCACTGCAGTCCCTCATAGTTAGGTTGAGAACGTTTCAGCCACCCCTCGCACATAACGTTATGGTAAATGCTTTGCATGTGATTTCACTATGTAGCACTTGCTGAGAGACCGAAGGGCAACCTTCCATATTGATATATTATGTCAATTTCCATTCATAGTTGCCGAAGGTATTTTCCGAAAGCCTCGTTACATAAAGCGTTTTTTGTTACTACTATCGTAGGTGTATTGTAAGAAATAATAGTAGGTACACTTAGCTGTAGCGCTTAGATCGCTTTGTTTTAAAAAGGACAAGTAGCGTAGACCATTTCAACTGCTAGCTATTTCAACTATTGTGGTTGGTTATCAAACTTGGTCTCTTAATATTGAACAATTATCTATATCAAAATAATCCTTTGAACATTTGTTACAATGCCAAAACCTCAATAGATTTCTTTGAAATTTAATCAAATAAATCTAAATAAATAAAATAATAAATAAATAAATCTAATTTATAGAAACTACACTGCGGAATGTGACAGCCCACTTCTTGATCGGTTCGGAACAGTAAGCACTTTATCATGCCCTTGTTTTGAACATATTCTCAAGGGAAGACTTATACCTGTACAATGTAGCATGGTTGATAGATGTACACTGAACCTTTGCAACTAGTAAAACAGAGATTATACGATCAATGTACATGCAATACCTTCATCTAGATCTGTGTCGTAGTCTTCATCGTCGGAGGGTACAGGCACTGCCAGCAATTTCTTTCTGGACACATGTGGGTAATAGTTCTCAAACTCCGCCCCGAACTTTCCCTTCAGCAGTTTCTGCCTCAGCTCCTCCTCACCCGGTACAGTGTAGTCACTCCAGGCGGAGATGGGGGTGCTGGTGTTGATGGGGATGGTGACGGAGCTCCTTGTGGAAAATCTTGAAGCGGACGACTCAGCTCGCATTGAACTTGCGTTTAGATCTTGGGCTTTGATGAAGCTCATTGGAGACCCATATTCGTCAGAGTCCAAGACGGGAGATGCTGAGTGATCAGGACAATTTGGGGATGGTGACATCAGTCGGTCTACTGTATCCTGCTGTACACTTGTTGGTATGTGGCTTTGGGATTCAGTCCCAAATTCAGTATTTTCGGACGGTTTCATGTCACTTGCGTTGTAATCGGGTGACGATTGTCCTTCAAATTCAGTTTTGCCTTCTGTTCCTCCAGGTGTTACTTTTCTTGTATCCTGTCCCCTTTTTTCAAGTTTTGACATCTTGTTAACGTCCTTCCTTCGTTTGCGTATTTCAGATGTTCTTTTCTCCACGGATCTTTGATTTATGCCATGTGGCATAATGCGTTCAGATGTCGACTTCGTATTGGATGCATTCACAAGAACCTTAGATATTCTGTCACCCAATCCGCGCATCTTAGTAGGCGCCATGTCCTCCCTTCCTCCGATGTGTCTATTCTGCAGTCGAATCACATCACTACCTATACTGCTGCCAGACTTTATCCGCCTTTGGCCAGCACCTGAAACACATGTTACGTTCCTTTGGGTAGCGCTTCTTGGCTTCCGGTTACATGCATCGCTCCACGTGTTTCCTCGACAGTCAATAGCAAGCTGGTAGCGGGACTGTCCAGGGATAGGCGTGCTCTGAGAACCAGAGGGGGAAGAACTTGCCGACGGCATTGTGATCTAAAAAGGAAATGTCAAAAGATGAACGAAAAATTTAATAAACCGTGGCTATTCTGTACATACTCAATGGAGGGTTCAAACTGTGCAATGCCCATTTAGGTCATCAATATTGTCCGAATATTCTGGCTTATAAACATATCTGTCGGAGTGTTTATATTTATTACACTTGATTTGACTTAAACGATGGTTGCAGAATCATTACTATGTGATGGATAAAGTATGTGTTTTCGTCACGTACGGGGGTGGGGCTGTTGTACATAACTTTGAACATTATTTTAGTTTCATTAGCATGATGTGGCTGAAGTCAAACGTGCAGGTGTGTTCAATATCCTGGGTTTACATTATAGTGTCACGCAACGACTTGTCACAAGGTTACCTATAGAGATTATCTGACTGTGTTTCCGTATCGTAATTATCATGTATTAGGGTAATAATCTATTTATCATATGATACTTGATGTTTGCGTAGTAATTACTCTAAGGGGCGGTCGGGTAGCCTAGTGGTTAAAGCGTTCGCTCTTCACGCCGAAGACTCGGGTTCGATTCCCGACATGGGTACAATATGTGAAGCCCATTTCTGGTGGTGTCCCCCACCATGATATTGCTGAAATATTACTAAATGCGGCGTAAAACTATACTCACTCACTCTCCCAATGAAGTAACGTTAGAAACCGCTTATGATTACAATGTGAATGCACTGTCAAATTATATGCAGTCATTTATGTCTACATAGTCACACATACTTTGGGAACGTTATTGGGAACGTCAGTCAACACATTATTGAGCAAACAGACTTCGATGTATGAAGATTAAAAGTAGTTCCGGCTAGGTGATCTTAACTACATATTCATCACATCGTCATATCAGGTTTATCGGATTGGTCTGTCGCATCAATTATATGATTATCCATTTTATGATACTATAATACAATTCACAAGTTAACATAGAGTCTACAACAAACTTTATCTTATCTTACATTACAATATTAGCTTTTGATGGGTAAAAGGGCGGGGAATTGTTTTCTATCCATCTCGCTGAGAAATCAATCAGAACACATCTTAGGTAACTTTGTTATTTCACATAAGTATTTTATCCGAATGTACTGGGTAGCGGGAAGTAAATCGGTTCGTTTGCCGCGTTTGCTACGAATTTTTGCTATACATGTATATTCCGGACCTGTACGAATGAATGTCCACAAGATAAATGCGTTGCCAACCGGCCCCTTGGGCATATGGTATGGTGTACCCTGTGTGAGATCCTATAACGGGTTGTGGTACATAGGCTCACACATAGGGTACATCACACCAATTAACCCTCAAGACAACATATAATGTAGCACACAACCCTATTATATTCTAAATCTACATGTCAACTTGACCGGCTTTGAATGTTATTACCTTCTTTTGTTAAAGTCCTAGGTCAATGGGACGTCTTCAGTTTAATTTATATCCAATGTAACTTTAGATTGTAATTATTTGTAGTTTTAGGACCGACAATTTTGAACAAAAGTGCATTTATAATTCTTTCAATCCGCGTTGATGTCGAGTTATGAGTTCACGTCCGAGATATACGAGCAGCGAGGATAAGTTCTCCTCCACGCCTATCTCATTGAAAATGACAGTTAATATCCTTCCTTCAAGATTCCATCTCACAATACCGTCTGTACATGCATCCCATTTCATAGTTAATCGAGAGACAGCTGGTAGTTTTACCTTAATATCTATCCGTCAATGCAACGTCTGTACATGCGTCCCATTTCATAGTTAATCGAGAGACAGCTGGTAGTTTTACCTTAATATCTATCCGTCAATGCTACGTCTGTACATGCATCCCATTTCACAGTTAATCGAGAGACAGTTGGTAGTTTTACCTTATTATCTATCCATCAATGTTACGTCTGTACATGCGTGACATTTTATAATTAAACATGAGACAGCTTTATGTCGGTTTGTAAAAGGTGTTTGCGATATCGAGTTGAGTTTGATATACAAAATGTACTTACAAGCAAGTTGTTGATCGTTCATAGGGGCACCCTGACTTCGAATGGTTACCCACTCCCCTTCCTTACTCAGTGGTAATCCTCCCTGGGGATAATCACAGCACAGGGAATGATAAGCCGATTTACAGGCCCCCAATCTCTAATCACTCTGCAGCAGGCTTAACCCAGGAAGTATTTTGGGTAAGTTAATCTTCTCTGGTTATTTACTCGATGCCCTGGTAGTCATCAAATATATTTTATTTTATCCGTAGTTTGAAACAAATGGTGTGCCGATAGTATCCATAGTGTCGACTTTGCATAGTCTGAATTGGGATGGTTGAGTCTGTTTGTTTGTTGTTTAGAGCTGTACTCAACGAAAGTCCAGCTATATGGCGACGGGCTGTAAATAATCGAGTCTGGACCTGATATCCAGTGATTGACATCATGATCATCAATCTACGCAATTGGGATACGATGACATGTATCAACCAAATCACCGAGCCTGACCTCCCGATCCCGTTAGTCGCCTCTTACTTAAAATTATTGAGCTTTCATTGCTTGAATATTATGCTTTGCCTGATGGATTCCGTGTTCATTGCATCCAATACATCAGAACGTTCCCTTTTCGCGGGTTCTATTCCTCTGTTTATGGTGTACCTGTCTTACAGTTACTGTAACATTGCAATTCATGTGATCCCTGCTCTCAATTTAGTACTGGTCGTCAAGAAATCCCATTGATTAAATATTATTTTGTACTGGATTGAAAAGAGCTTTCAATTTCGGAACAGAAATTCGAAACTGTGTTCTTACAATTATGTGTAGCTGTGGCGTTTGTCGTACGCCATGAGTGCAATGCCGTTGCAGAAACTATGAACCAGAGCAACATACATTAAACAAAAACATATAAATATATATTCTTTCCTGTGAGTATTGCTTGTAATAACTGTAGCACGCCACTCCGTGTTGTACTTGTCGTTTGGGGTGAGTGAGATGGTTTTGACGTCAGTTTTAACAGTATTCCAGTTATATTACGTTGTTCGGGATCAGCGGCTAATTCGTGGGAAGTATTATCACCTGATTATTACTATTAGCTACAGTACACAGTAATCCCCCCCCCCCCCCCCCCCCCCACACACACACACACACACACAAACACACACCACACCCGCAAAGCCTCACCCACTTTACTCCGAGCTTGACTGTGTTTCAAAGCTGTTGGACGACGAACATAATGGACGGCTTTTGTTCATAGCCAGTTTGTGTATGCAGCACGTTAACACAATGATACGTAATACCCCGCTTTCCAGGGACTAGGGCGTAATGCCTTTCAACGATGCACGCAAGGTAAACAACACTGTTAGTTGAATATGCATTTCTTCGTTGCTTTACCACTAACTGCGCCATGTTTAGAGTTAGATATTTCAGACAGGCGACATTGTATATATCGTTTAGGTACGAAATCAGATACTTCCCAAACTATTAAGTGAGTGAGTGGAATGGTTTTACGCCGCTGTTAGCAATATTCCAGCAATATCACATCGGGGGACACCAGAAATGGGCGTCACACATTGTACCCATGTACCCATGTACCCATGTACCCATGGGTCTTCGGCTTGACGAGCGAACGCTTTAACCACTAGGCTACCCGACCGCCCCCAAAACTATGAAGCCAGTATTTTAGATACGAATCATCTTCAAAGCATTAACAGAAATAGATGAGTTAAGTTCTGAAGGTAACTAGACATGTCTATCTTATCAGCTAAATCATTTATGAATAATGAAAACAACATTGGATTATCGTACACCCACATAATAAATAAACATTTCTAAAAAGAAATAATTGCATTTAGCACATGAATTAACCCTATCATAAATTGGTTCAATAGCTGTAATCACAAATTACTGTAAACATACAGAAGCGACACCGGGTGTTACATGTCTATAACTGCAATCATGAATCAATGTAAACATACAGAAGCGACACCGGGTGTTACATGTCTATAACTGCAATCACAAATTACTGTAAACATACAGAAGCGACCTCTGGTGTTACATGTCTATAACTGCAATCATGAATCAATGTAAACATACAGAAGCGACACCGGGTGTTACATGTCTATAACTGCAATCATGAATCAATGTAAACATACAGAAGCGACACCGGGTGTTACATGTCTATAACTGCAATCATGAATCAATGTAAACATACAGAAGCGACACCTGGTGTTACATGTCTATAACTGCAATCACAAATTACTGTAAACATACAGAAGCGACACCTGGTGTTACATGTCTATAACTGCAATCATGAATCAATGTAAACATACAGAAGCGACACCGGGTGTTACATGTCTATAACTGCAATCACAAATTACTGTAAACATACAGAAGCGACACCTGGTGTTACATGTCTATAACTGCAATCATGAATCAATGTAAACATAGTGAAGCGACACCGGGTGTCACATGTCTATAACTGCAATCATGAATCAATGTTTACATACAGAAGCGACACCAGGGTTAGTAAAAAAGCTTTGAAGACTTTAGAAACATATTTGCAACACTCCATCTTGCTCTGGGGCTAAAAATGCGACAATATCTCCTTATCTCATCGTTTCAATATTTTTTATCTGATTCTGAGTCTGAGTAAGAGTCCCCTGAAGTGTGTGTTGGTGCAGGCATGTGATTCTTTAACGATAATAGTCAAAAAAGCTGTTCATACCTTCTCGTGAAAAATGTTTTCAAAACGGAAATCTAGGATCTAACGATGATTCCACTCGTACCTTAAAATAATTACAAAGATTTTCCTAAGAAAGCACACTTTCACCTACGTGAAAGAGTATTATTACATATTACTCATGTAACTAGGTCAGTTCAGGCAGGACCTCTTTTGTGTGCTGATTGCTTTTCGCTGATCCCTATTCCAGTACATGTACCTAACCATTTCATACTCTGTCCCCTACTTGCTATATGAATATGGTAACACTGAAATGTTGTTTCTCACGAATGAATGAATGTTCCTCAAACCACTTTAACAAATGTATGATCCCCAGCAACCGATGTCATCTGTACAGTGACTCCACGACCTACTACCTCATCAGTTCTGAAAAACAACAGTCCTAAAAGTTCTGATGGATTTGAGGGGGCACGGGTGGCCAAGTCGTCTAAGGCGCCGCGATTCGCTGTTCAGAGTTGCGTCCCTTGGGCACGTCAGAAACCTATGATTGTGGGTTCGAATCCCGGTTCGCCCCGATTATGTTTCTAGGTTTGTCACCACCATACCCGTGCTCGTGGGTTTCACAGAAGTGGTAAACATCTTAGACCTGCATCACTTCGGGCTTTCCTCCAACAAGCTGACACGCCGTGATATAACTGGAATACTGTTAAAAGCGGCGTTAAACCCAACTCACTCACTCACTGATGGATTTGATCATTTTGTCTATTATGTCACATAAACTAGAAAATGTTTTGCAAATATTACAATAAAGGCAACAGAACCATTTAATTAATCGTAGGGGCGGTCGGGTAACCTCGTGGTTAAAGCGTTCGCTCGTCACGCCGAAGACCCGGGTTCGATTCCCGACATTAGTAAAATGTGTGAAGCCCATTTCTGGTGTCCCCCGCCGTGATATTGCTGGAATATTGCTAAACGCGGCGTAAAACCATACTCACTCACTCACTAATTAATCGTAAGAAATCTCTGCTAAAAGCAGAGTCTGACTACATCCAGACAACTACACGAAGTCCCACATTGATTTTGACAAGGAAATATTTCCGTTAGAAGTTTTTATGCAGCTAAAATCCATCTTGACATCCATACTTTATATATAAATAACATCTCCCATATAGATAACAATCCTGTGTCTGTGTACATAATGATGACCAACGTCATGAGTGCATTAACATCTGTATCTGGATTCATTCCTTCCAAACTAATCCTCTTGAAAAAGACAGACATACTGGTTTTTTTACTGCAGATTGATTGATGAACGTGTAAAAGACTTTGACCGGTGCAATCTTTCAAATTAATTCCAAGTATATGATGTCTTGTCTTTGCAGGGAAAGTCGCCATTGGAGTCATAGCTTTTGTGAGCTGGACCACAACCTCATTTGTTGTGCCATCAGTCTGCTGGACTCTTCCAGAGAACATCAGATTTATCTCCTCTTCGTTTGATGCTATTGTTGAAGCGTGGGGGCGCTGAACCTCACTATACATTGCCCCCAAATCCACCAGGGATTACAGTAAAGTGTCCTGATTGGTCGAAATGGAAACAAACTCCGATGGGACATATAACGATGGAAACTACTTTCCTGATGCCTAATATTGGATTAATATTTCTCCAACGTGGTTATGTTGTCATCTCCGACAGATTACACGGCCATATTCTCTGTACTTTACTGCATACCTCTCACGTGTTGATCAACAACGCATACGGGAAGGCCTACCACCCACGCCCTGGAACTAACTGAGCAACTTTTACACAAATACGAGTTACTACCCATTGCACCATATATGAACGTCAGAGACACTTAAATGATTGTTAAATACCTTTGGTTTAAGTGAATTTACGTATCTCTATAACCACGGATAGAAGCATGCGAGTGCTTTGGAACTATGTAATTGTTTACTGTCGTATAAAATATTGTCATTTTACAGACGCTTCTTTAGCAATTTTAAAATGGAAAAGAACAGATATATTAATGCTCATAGTGTTATAGTCAGATAGTGGAATGAACATATAAGTGTCCTTTAGGCTGGACACTTGTGGGATTTAATGTTTTTGAATACTAATATATGTACGTACTTCATAGCGTAGGCATTACTATATCCTCTTATTGATGCAATAAGGGGCGGTCGGGTAGTCTGGTGGTTTAAGCGTTCGCTCGTCACGCCGAAGACCCGGGTTCGATTCCCGACATGGGTACAATGTGTCTTGTGTCCCCCGCCGTGATATTGCTGGAGTATTGCTAAAAGCGGCGTAAAACCATACTCACTCACTATTGATGCAATACTTGTAAAATATCCATGTGCACATTTATCTCTCTGTCTGTCTCTCCCTCCGTCTCTCTCTCCGTATTTGAG